CGTGACTTAGGTCTAGTTTTAACGGAAAAAATAGACACAAATGTAAATTACATGGGGGATGTGGAGAAGGCATTTGTAGTCATAAATTTTACACATAGGTAGCTAGGTGCACTCACTCCTGAGCTCTTTCTTAGGTTAGACCACACAGTGAAGTGCACAATACCTTTGCACCTCCACTTCTCAGAAGAGACACAAACCTTTTGGAAAGAGTCCAAAAGGAGTGTTGGGTCTCCAAAATAAACCGTATTATGAACAGGTAAGGAAATTGGACCTCTTCACACTTATTTACCATCGTCTTAGGGGGGACTCGATTGCTGCCTACAAGATAACAAATGACTAGAATCACTCAAACAAAGGTCTTCTGCCACTGAGTGGGTATAGGTTTCCTCGTGGAAGTCCCAAAAGGATAGCTCACCAGAGGACAGGGACCCGATTGCGCTCTCAATTCTTTTCACTGTGGGTTTGTCGTCCCCAGGACTCCTTACCGGCAGATGTAGCTATGGCACTGTCTATGGACACCTTTAAGCGAAGGCTGGACAATCGTGCAGGCACACAAGCACTGCGTCTAAATGGCCTATCCCCTTAAAATCGCGTACATCGATAATGCGTAGACCTTTAAATTTGTCGCTTTACTTCTTCACATTCTCTCACTTCTTACTTTCCTGACTACTCCAACTACTACACTTACACTTGTTGTTAATATTATTATTGACATATATATATTTCAACTTCAAATTTAATTGGCTTTATTTATTCTTTATTTCTTTTTCTGTTGTTTAGTCTGAATAACCTACACTAATTATATGTTATTATTATCATCTCTTTTCTTTTGACGACGATACCGGAGGACGAACTGGTGAAAGGAAAAGGTCTTTTCACAGTCTTTAATAACAAAGTCTTAACACACCGCATTCTACAAACAACAACCTACAGGCAACAAGTAAGCCCGTATACCATTCAGCTACTGATACCCGATTCATGAGTTCTTACTTCTGCCAATTCGTAATTTAGCGCGACCACCAACCAATGCCGTCTGTGGGACATCCATCCTCACACTTGACTGGATGGACCTCACCGGTCACGACTTCTCACTGGAACTCCAGGAAACTCCGAGCTATTGCAGGTCACTAGCGAGCACCAGATTAATTTTCAAGGGGTGGTTTGTATGGATTACTTTTGCTTTTACGAGTTGATCACGGATTGATATCAATTAGAGAACCATTGAAAACCAGGCAGTTTATTGATCTGCTTAACCTGCACACGGTAAATCGGGGTGTGACTTCTGTACCCAGAGGAGAGAGACGGCTTAGGGAAGCACTCGACTGCTCTTACATACCAATTTACCATCAGAACAACTTCTTCTGCATACTCCTAACATAGTATGACAGGCTTTTACTGCAATGAGCAACTGCTTTATTCTAACCGCTATCCAAACGCCCTCCCCGCTAAGGTAGGAACTGTGGGGATATTGAATCCATCTGGTCTAGCTGGTTGAGTCATTGCGATATGCATGTCAGGCCAACACGTTTCGGTAGCAGCCGCTGGTTAGGACAATATATGCGAACTTCCCACTGGATCAATAATCTAGGGAAAAGTCCTCAGAGAGTTAACTAGGAACAGGCTCCAGAGGAGAAAATACACCTATTATACTGCCTTATGATGGTCAACTCCGTTGGGGAGGAATAAAACAGAGCTCTTCTAATAATGTTTCTAGGCTTGGCTGGTTTGGTTTATGCGAGCCCATCTATAGTTGTGACATAGCTGAATATATGAATCAAGCTTTCAGAGCCAGTCGTTATACAGCCGGAACAGGGACGGCTTCAGTTAACTTATTTTCCGAAAGCAAAACTTCTCTTTTTAGAAGCTGTAGTACGGCGGCGTTTAGGACGTCTACTAATGGCTGTTATTGGATTTTACTGAATCGAAGTTTGTTGGACCGTCCAGAATCCCACCCAGATTTTTAAGGACACAAGTTATCTGTGCGATGTTGGACTGTACCGTTTGTTTAAAGGGGTAACGGTCATTATCCCCTTCCTAGATATTCAGATGTCTTATATACGTTGCTAATAGCTCCCAACATCTATCAGCTGCTCACTAGTATACTGCACAGATTTCTAACGGCGTGTATTCCCCGGGGTAGTTTGTCTTCTAAGCAACGAATCAGTAGAGACTTTTGAAATATCCTATCCATCCCAAATTAATCATTTCACATATCTTTTATGGTTAGGTATGAGGTGTAACCTGATTCCCTCTTCAAGTTTCTACGTTTTCACCGTACCTTTCTTATGTTGCAATAGTGATGACTTGTGTAACTGCTGTGATCTTAATTATAATTTTCATACAGATGAAATCGTTTATGGCTTTCTGAATAACATCCTTCACCTGCTGCAAGTGCTTACTCACCTCTTGGAAATGGTACTGTCATGGGCAAGGTACTAACACAAGCGCTCTCTTTACCTGTGAAAAGTTTGCTTAGCAGCTCAGACGGCATGTAGCATAACTGCGATTTGTAAAGTTCTCCTTAAAAACAAGGTGAAACAACACAATACCACGATCACTGCTTCCTAATCGTACATTGCATTCAAGGAGGAGGATAGTAGTGTGGAGGTAATGTTGCTTGAATGGTGTACCATGCAACCCCATAAGCACCATGAGAAATGATTTTCTAGGACGAGGAGTCATAATGGCATTCAGCAAGTCTCTCTCGAAAAACCATCTCTACGTAAGTGCGCGTGCATGTAAGCAAGTGTGCATGAGTATGGGTCCCGACTGAAACGTGGGCCTTCAGCTGCACATTTCCATGCCGCTATGTTGGCAAAACTCCCTGTCTGTGCGACTGATCACAAGCTTTCGTGAACCTATCATAACATCTCCCTCATAGCACTCTCACGTTATCGATTCTTTTCCCTTTCGGTTTCTACTGAAGAGCCAGATACATGGCGCCACTCAGTGGTCTCTTTGGCGAACGCCCAATCCATCCCCGCTCCCTTCATAATAATGTTTGGGCAATAGGCTACTGATTGGTTTGTTGCCAGATTTCTTTTCCCGATCGGTCATTTGATCTTCATTATCAAGATTATGAAGGCAGAGTTGGTGGAAGTCTGCAGCCTGTTGGAATTGCTTTCGGCAGCGGACGCATCAAGTCCCTTAACTACATGAAGCATATTGTTCCTTATGATGAGTGCTGTAGATCTGTAGGCTGAATTCAGAGTAATGCAGGTCTCTGTTGCTTTTCCTATCCCGGCTTGTTTTGAAATCCCAATCCGTGCCGCTTGAAAGCATTTCAAACGATTCCACTGAGGCACGTATAAGAGGCAACTTCCCTTAGATTCCGCCCACCGATGGCAACTGTGGTTTGTTATAGGTTAGATACCCCAATCACCTGTGTTTTCTGCATATTAGCTGCCTCTTCTGCCATTTGTTAGTCTTCTCCAGTTCTTCGAATTTGTTTGAAGTGAGTTAGAAATCACCAGAGAAACCAGGCCTCCTACAGTCTTCATATCGTCACAACACATGTGCAGGACTTCTCGCCCCCCGAAGGTCTGCCAAACGCTTCAGTCTGCCACTATCAGAAATATGATGGGTGATAGTAGGCAGCTCTGTCTAACTCGTGCTTTCAATTCATTTTCTCACATAAGACTTCTCATAAGATAGGAAAGTTTTTGAACTAACAGTTTTTAATAATCAAATCTCCTATCAAAATATTTATCCGAAATACTGACCGATAGCATATACAAAATGGCAAGACAGCAGTTGATATTGAAATGGATTTTATTAACCAGTCAAACCCATTATAACGCGCGAAAAGGCGTTTAATGTTCAATACAGTCCAGCAAAGAAAGGAAACCTAAAAATCATGTGAAAGGAATGGTGCCCACTCGGTTACCCATCCATTTATTCTGTGCTCTTTAACCACTAACCTAGTAAGCCATGTAGGGCACAGAAACCCTACAGATGGCCTGTCCATCTGAATCGGTGGACCATGGATCAACTCGAAACAGCTAATGTTGTGCTATATGGTCTTCTCTTGCATATTATCCAGGCTAAAATATCCCCTATAGTTGGGTACTCGAATCGACTTAAAATATGTGGAGAGCTTGGAGAAGACAATGACCTGCTCACGCTGCTAACAAACCTAATTAATCTACAAGATTTTTACAAGGGGTGTGTACACACTGAAAACCTAGCAAAGTGCGTAACCACGCACATCGAGAGCGTAGTTGTCAGAGCACATGATGTGGCTTCAGTTGTCAGCTTCAGATCCTTATGTGCAATACACACGTCCATATTTAGAAGCACCAGTGAAATGTTCACCAAATTATACAGATATCTGGTGAGGTCGAAGAAAGAAAAATACATCCAGATAACCCGCTTTTGCAAGAAAATTGAGAGAGAGTTTAAAGTAAGGCCAAATGCGAATTTCTTTGGACAACCTATTTTTCAAATCAGGGACACTCTAAATCTTTTCTCACTATAGTGTAAGCAGATCACGTCACGATGTTCAAAATTTTAAGAAATTGCCATTACCTTGCACGTCGTATCCCTTCCTTTCTTTCATCTGAGGGTATGACAGTTTGCATAGCGAAAGAGTCCAGAGGAGTAAGTAATTTCATCGTAGTGGTTGTCCCACCGAGTCGCCTACTATCAGAACGAACTTCCAGACGAAGTGATATCTGCACCCACAATTAACTTGTTCAAGAAGGGATTAGAAAGACGCAGATATTTATTAAAAAGGGATTGACGCCGCCTTGCAAATGGCTATCCTCAAACAAAACCGAAGCCTGGCATCTGAACTGTTTTCAAAAACTCAACAATTTGTTTTATTTACCCTATTAATGTTGTTTAAAACACCGAAGGTAAGTTAATTCAGCATCTGTGCTGTAACACCGATGAAACAACAGGCATTATATAATAATGACGAGTGTTCGGAAACTCGAAATTTCTACTCAATGTTTGAATGAGCAAAGGTTAAGCGGTAGGTTTTAATTTCGGTCCACAGTATGCCTGACCCGAGAACGAATCAATTTAAAGCTGTAAGTGCTTTATTTCTCCTGAAAGTCTATGGTTTTGTTGCTATCCTTGGTCTATTGTAATCATGTGTCTGGTTATACTTTTCAGAATGTCAACCCAGAGACTATTTATGATATTCTTGAACGGATAGGCAGAGGTTCTTTTGGTGAAGTTTATAAGGGTGTCGACAGAAAAACGAGGGAAGTTGTAGCTATCAAGCTGATTGATCTAGAGGCCGCTGAGGATGAAATTGAAGATATCCAGCAGGAGATCAAGGTTTTATCCCAATGCAATAGTCCTTATATCACGAAGTACCATGGTTCCTATTTGAAGGATACTACACTGTGGATCGTTATGGAGTATCTTGGTGGTGGATCAGCATTAGACTTAATGAAACCTGGTCCCATACCAGAAGTTCACATATCTACAATCCTCAGAGAAATTTTAAAAGGACTGGATTACTTACACAGTCAAAGCAAAATCCATCGAGACATAAAAGGTTTGTGTCATGGTACTATTTATTCCTGAAATGATAACGTTTTAAATCTGCAAGTAACTACCGATTTTATCTGAATAGCCATGTAGTCACTATGATACGAGCTATAAATACACTTTTGTTTCTTCTAGGTTATGGATATAAACTCCCATACAAATAAGTGGTAAATTCGCTGACGGTCAACATGATGTCTGATGTGTAGCGTAATGCATGTTGGACTGTTGTGACTCAAATGATGATTATTTACTAGAGGTTATGTGTTAAAATCTGAGTAATTACGTATTATTAAAGTGGTACATAAGAGCTGGCACAAATAGTTTCTCGTCTCATTTTTTGCACATGTCTTAGATTCAGTCCTTTATAATACAGGTAAGGCGTTCCCTCCTTTCTTTTACCTCACGTTGTCGCATTAACTTCAAAACAATAAAAGGTGAGATTTATTGGATTCCAACGTTCTCAACAGGACTCGACATGCTGTCCTACTTGCTTGGCTTTTATATCCTTTAGTGTATTTAGGAATATATACATTGTAGGTTAGAGTAGTTTTTGTGAAGTTTGTGCAAACAAGACTGAATCGTTTGCGAAGCAGAGACACACCACCTAAGTGAACAATGGAAATTGAGAATGACGTGTCTTCTTTTGAATATAACTGTCGAGGAACTCAGGAATCTTTCTTACAGTTTTATTAATATCATCATGTGCTGAAAGAAGGATACCAGACATTTTCTATGCTTCTAAATTCGTTCTATTAATAAATATCAGTTAGATGGTCCAGAGATCGTAAGTAACAAAGTCACTTGTCAATACCTCCAACTATCAGTTCGATTGTACTAGTCGAAGATACATTTTCACGAAAATATGTGTCTTCATAATTGAATATTTATGTAAGTTACGAAGGGAAAGTTAAGGGTTTACTAATGAAACACCTAATTGAGTATAGCGACCACATCGATTCTGTTGCAGTCATCGGGAAAAATTTCCGAAATCATAGCATCGTTTGCAGTTGGATTCCTCAGGCCTAGTTAGCGTGTGGAAGATAATATTGGATGTATGTTCGTGCATTATCGCTGTATTATTAGGGAAGGTCGGGTCTTTGTTATTGAGTAGAAAACAGTCCTTCAGTAAAGAATATTGTGACATTGTCAATTTCAAATCAAAGATAATTAGTTATCCTGAAGTACATTATGAATATATGTGAAATTAGTTCATCGTGGAAAATCGTCGGGGTTTGCAACATTGAGAAATAAGATGTTACTTAAACAGTTTTCTGAAGCCACTAACAATCACGATATTCCAGTTATTGCTATTAAGAGTATTTTTATAATGCGTTCCACTCAGAGGCCTGACGTGTGATGTAACCCGAAGGTCTCAGCATATCTCCATCTTCGTTTCTTTCTGCATACTTCTAAACCATATAGAAGCACTGACATAACGAATCTTATCTCTTTTGGTGACAACTGAAGATCTTCACACTGATTTCAGAGTAATGTCTATCTTACCCTCCCAGTCTTAACCGACTTTTACATCATCCGTGCCATCTGTGTGTAGTTGAGATGATACTACTCAGTTAAGTGAGACTACCTTATTTAAGTTTCTACCATTGATAGTGCTTGTCATTCTTGTTTGAGCATTTGCGTCACTATCGTCTTCATGTTTACGTAAAGTCCTGTCTTCAAAGCCCTTTTTATTAACTTGTTGGTTGTTGTTGTAATTCATCTGCTAAATCGAGATGTAAGGTCTTTTCGTCACATCCCGTTAACAGTCTACGGCATGATCTGGTTCACCACCGTTAGGAAGATAATTGATGACAGTAGGCAGCGTTATCTACATCTGTCTTCACTTCAAACGCTTCACTGAATTTTCCGTTGTGAATCACTTAGTATGTTTCAATGATATAGCTGTTGAATGGGGTTTATAGTGGTTCGCACTACTGCGCAGTGTAATGTTTAGGCAGTTTGTAATTAACTTCAAAGTTGATGAAATCAAGCTACATAGTTCGCTGTCAGTCTAGGCTCTTTTGAGTAATTATGCGTAGGGTTGCGATTCGGCATTCACATGATATTCTTTTGCTAAGTCCAACATGCTTCTGACGGGGTTTTGCATTCACAGCCTTTTTTAACCTCTTCAGGATGATGCGGCTTAATATTCTGCTTGAATTGAACAGGAAAGTAATGAAACACCAGTTCTATACTACCTTTGAGAGTTTCAAAAGCCAACTTTTCTCCGAATTGGCAGGTACCTTTCCTCCCCTTCAAACGTTCTGCAGTAGTAGTTTGCAATGCTCCTGGAGGATTTCTATCTGATCCTGCTGTCTTTCAGCAACTTAATGGCATCTACAAATTAAGATTTTGTTGAAGGATTGGTGTCCTGTGGCTGTTGGTTTGGCTGGAAACTTTGCTGGTAGTGGTCGATTCGAGTCTTATGAAGTGATCAGCCCAGAGTTGGTTTTGTTTCTCCTTCTTGGTAAATAGCTTTCCTTCACAACCTTTCACTTGTTTCCATCTGCGTTGATATATTCTGGGGCTAGCAACATGATTATTTGATGAAGTTTTATAAGGTCTCTAACTTGTAGCCTACTCTTCTTCAATGAGAGGTGTGTTGTAAGAGCGTGTTTCGTCTTTTTTATTACTCTCCACTCCCTCGCTCAGTGACCGTAGGTTGTCATCAGCTTCTTCCGTTGCTCATACTTGTACTGGTTCATTCTGTGCTTCACCATCCTTGTCCCATTTATCATCTGCCAGGTGTCTGTAGTAAACCATTCATTGTTCTGTCTCTTCTTGCTTGAGAATACCTTCAGTGTTTATTTCAGAGAGTTCTAGTGTTCTTCCACTCTCTTGATTACTCTTGATTATGTCTCTTAGTGCTTCTAATCTTTTCCTGGTAACAGTAGTAAAGGTATCCTTTGTTGTTTAGTTCTTCATTTTCTGAACGTTTAGCTTGAATTGAGGTCTATCACACACTTTTTCAATGGCTCCTAACTCGGCCTTGAAGGTACAGTGAACTAAATGGCAATTTGAATTTACATTTGATCTCAATCTTGTGTTCAGTGGGTCTCCATTTTCTTCAGATTGAGATGAAGTCTATTCGATATTTGCTGTGTCTATGTGTGATGAGATCTACATTTCCTTGTGAATATCCTTGCGCTTGTGCACGCTGCCTCCAGTCATTAAATCACCAGGATGTAGATCTGTTTTCCCACTGGTTTCACCAAGCACTTGTCCACCCATGAATAGTTCACTTCCTGTATTGTCTACTCAGTTTATCGTTCATTTCACCCATCAGAATTTTGATGTCTCCATCTGACTGGTCTCGCACTTGTCTGCAGTAGTGACCCCTCTCTTAGTCTACGTCGTTTGTGGAGGTTTAGTACTATGTACTTGTAACTTCCCTTCCTCCGGAGTTGAACGTCGCTCTCATGATCTCGGAAGAGATTGGTTCCACTGTATCAACTCCTTCAGTGCTATTGGTGGCATTATGATAACCACACCGTCAGTGTGTTCATGGTTGTCTTCCGGGAGATTGAAATAGACCCTCAACTTTCCACTTAACAATTCATGTAATTCCTAGTACTTCTATCCATCATCTCCTTTCTTCTACATTCTGAACAGCCCTACCGTCGAGCCTAGACACATCGGTTGGCTGACCTTCCGAAGCCTCTGACCATTTGGTGTTATTTATCTACTTTTATTCTAGTTGGGAATAAGTTCGTTTCCCCGTGAGTTGAAGATTCAGTAGCAATGGGGTTACTTTTTACCGGATGGCGTCACTAATTCCACGTCCTACCTCTTCTCTGCGCTTAGAACCAGCTAGCAAACTAGACGAGGTATTTGCGTAGCAACACATTAAAGTGCGATGAGTAGGGCTCAAAAGATGGAATATATATGATTGTATTTAACTTCTTGTTGATGCCCAACTCAATACAGTCGCTTTTTTTCTGTTTTTCAATTTTCTATTAGCTGCAAATGTCCTGCTCTCCTATAGTGGTGACGTAAAGCTAGCCGACTTTGGTGTTGCTGGCCAATTGAGTTCTACCATTACTAAGCGTGGTACTTTTGTAGGAACACCATTTTGGATGGCACCAGAGTTAATTTTGAGATATGCCTATGATTTCAAGGTAAGCTATTTGTAATTTTGTTTGTCAAGTTTCATTGAGTGATATACCTAAGTGCAGAATTTTGAACTGGTCACCACAGTATGCTGAAGTGTTTGCGATAATGATGATCTAAATAGTACCGTATTTATGGTTAAACTTCCAAATATATGGACGTCTTTGGTGTTATGGTTTCTATATTTTACGGTGTCGATTAAAGATGAGCTTCCTTCGAATGTGAAATGGAATTACAAATTATAATTTTCCATTGTTAATGAGAAATCTTTGAATAAAAATGTTTTAAAATTTTAATAATGTAGGATGGTTTTTAAAGTTAGTAAGCTGAGTGACTGAACGTGTAACCAGTTCACTATAACAACGTGTCTTTTTGCTGGTAAGTAAGTAGCTGAGGTAACTCGTTCACAGTGTTCTTCTTTGAAATTGTAAAACTTTGATTTTACCCCACTTATTTTTTAGACTCTAATCGTCTTTTGGTTTCTAGTTTCTAAATATCTTTCTAATCTAGATTTCCTTTACTTTTTTGATCACTTAAATCAGTGCATCTTGAGAAAAGTCACTGGTGAATGAAATGCATCAAACCAGCGTAGATATACGTACTAGGCTATATGACAAAATCACTGTATCATGATATCCTTTTTTCATTCATTCAGGAGCAGTTGGAATAGGGTTTCCACTTGATGGTGTCCGACCACTGAACCATCATATCTGTAGCGAAATTCGTCTTTTTTCTGTTCGTTTTTATATGCAATTATTCTACCTTTTGTATGAACTTTTCATGATATTTGCATTAATTTCTTGATAGAAATTGATCATAGTTATCGCCTGTCTACCAACGACGTTATAAAACTGTTAGACGACTTAGGGACATTTAATGATACAAATTGTTGGTGAGGTATCGTCCCTAAAACATAATCGTAATGACAAGAAATGTTAGTTTGTGTGCAGTATTGTTTTTTAGGAAGTATGTGTTTAATCATTACCAGACTAAATGTGTATATTAAGATGTAAAGCTGAAAAATTGGATACTAAATCGACTCCTTTTAAACGAATATACGGAATGTTTTCATTGGAAAACTGTTTAACTAACTTTCTTGAGCAACATGGTCTCCTAGTAGGCTGTTACTTTCATGTTTCTCATGACCTGCCACCACTGTCAATTATTTTGTATTTCAACAAGGCTACTTTTAAGCCTTCATAGAAATTGGATTTTGATGTTGGCAGAGCTTCATGTGTTATAGGAAGTACTTTCTTCGATGACTAATGTTCAGTAAAATAAAATAAATCTCGAAAAGAGTCAAACGTGGTCAGGTGGTAACATGGTGCTCATCCGTAGAGTCACTGAATGTTGGTTTGGTACATAATACTTGCTTCACCAATGCGAATAATAAGCGGCTGTTAACGTTACATATGTACTGAGGTTCCAAACAACAACAGATATCTAGAGAAAATAAATATACTAACAAGTGTAAGGATAAAAAGAAATTAGAGAGTTTATATAAGCTAACAAAAATATAAATGAATGTCTGATTCATGAAGTAGTAAGTGTGATAGGTTGTGAGAGCGTAGACTTTAGTTGGGTTTTTTATTGAGTTACCGTTCAATACCCATTTGATTTCTGCAATATTGCTCGGAATCTTAGGTCAAAGCAGATTGTTGTCTTAAGGTACTATGTCCTGGAACTTTTCTCTTAAAGTGTGATGCACAAAGCAGCGGAACATTGTTAGGGTCAACTTTGTCATCTTTGTTGATAAATAAGAGGGGTTCATACACCATTGTTTTTACATCCTAATGCCGATGTTCACCCTAGGATTTTTCAATCCCCTTCACTGTTTTCACCCATCTATTGGTAAGTGCCGGATGTTTGCATTTGTCCTTTCTCTTTTGTAACAACGGCCGACATCACTTGAAAGCAGTGTTTTTGTACACGTGGTTATCTGAACGTATTGGATGGGAAGACTGAAGTCTATGAACCTCAGTTTTATCAGCTCATTCATGTGGGGCATGTCATGATTTCGCTATGTAGTCACCCTTCATTATTCATTCTCATTCATTTTCACCGAATTGGTCGCATATATGTTTTTCTGTCGCTTTGTCGTTCTGGTCCACTCATCATTTTTGCTGGCTGTTTTAACCTGTTTCAACTAAGAGTAATGCAATCCTGTGATGTGTCATCCACTCAGCCTTTTTATCACTCCTCCTGAGATGTGTGTTTGTGGTGGGTATAAATAGGGCTTTAAGGGATAGAAGATTTTAAAATGCAAGTCTTACAGTCTGATAGAAGCCAATCTCATTAATCAGATTTACAGAGTTTATTGGTTTACAAAACATGCATCTGTGTTTAATCATCTGCCGGAAATTGAACTCTTGTTCATTTCATTCCCTACACTGACAAAAGTCAGCTTCCTCTTTTCGGGTAATATCTTCATTCGTTATCGTACGTCTTCAACGTTTGAAAACAACAAATAGTTTGTGTTTGTAGTAACGAACTAAGTACTCGTGATTTTCACACTACATATGCTTGAAAAAGTTAGAGCGATACCATTTAGGGACTTTTAAAACACCCCGAGTAAGTTAAAGTTTTAACATTGTAGTCTGTTTTTTTTAAATTTTAGTCTTGACTTCATCAAAAATGCAATGGATGAGTTGTACTGACTAGGTGTTCTATCGTGTTTTCTTTCCTTTGTTTGCGGCTCCTTAGGTAATACAAAGGTAAAGGACTCTGGTGTTAAGGTCGGCTAAACTGCTATCCGAATATTCTTATGAGCATTGTTCCAGGAGTCTTTGCAGTTTATAAGCTGTCAAACCAATCTAATCCACAGATTTTTACAGTATCATCAAACTGCTTGCTACCAGTGTCTTGGATAGGTGGGAACAGCTTCCGACTGTTGCCAGATACTGCTTTTTCCCTCCATCTTACATTTACTTTATGACAACCAGACTTCGTGGTCCTTTCGTATTGTTTGATTTTATTCGCAGACTTGTCTTTGTTGTCTAACAGACGTCAACCAATTACGGTGAATACAAAAAAATATCTTAAGCTGCAAGTAGCTTTACTGTCCATCCTCATGATGTGATATGTACCGTGTACAATGAAATCCTTCCTTGACATTACTGTGTCTGTCACTGGCACTTGTTAACGGTCATCTAGTTGATGGTGAGATTCATGATATCCTTTAAAACGTACATATATAATATGTCTTTTGAACATGTATGTTGTTCCATGCCTTTAGGTTCGATATGGATCAGTGGTGAGACGTTCCGAGATTCGGATCCAACCTGCTTCTTAGCTAGTGTGTACCAAGTTGCGTATGTTGCAAGTGACAATTTTAGATGGAACACGTGGTACCTGAGCAGCCATGTTATGTGACTCGCTACTGAACAGCTACATAGCGACTCGTGACAGTCGTGATAGATCAGGAATTTAAGTAATGGCAAGTATTTTAATGAAACAAACATGTTAGCAGTAAAACAAATCAGCTCATTTGTGGAATTAATAAAAATAATTCAGTGATAATGATAATACTTTTGTTGCCTGAATAAAAGAATTACTACTGGTCAATTTCAAGATTATCGAGATAAATTGTTTAGCGAGTTGTGCTTTTGTTGTTTGTGTGAGTGGTGTGATACTGAAATGGCTTCAAAATCGAAACGGTTATTTATCTTTGATTTTTATTCAAATCCATAAGACCTCAATGTAATATTAATAGTGGCGTTCCCACGATTACCTGCTACCGAAGCAAGTTTATGCGCCATCCGTCCCTTTCTGTCTAGTAGGGAATACAGGCATTTCAATCTCATAAGTTCTATTTTTTCTATTGCCTAAGCAGGTGTTTGGCATTGGATACTTCCGTTCTTCCTTTCGTTTTCGAGAAATTTCTCCGGGGATAGTCCGGTCACTGACTCTAACTTAACTTCACCGCAGATTATCAGCCATTTTTTCTTTATTGTTCCTTCTGCCAAACAAGCCTTTTTCAGGCAATCGTACAGTAAATATAATCTATCAGTAGTGGTGTTTTTGTTTATTGTTTCTTGTAATCTTTCTTTTTTTGAAAATAGCTGATCATAGTGACCACTTGACTTTTAGGTTGATATTTGGTCTACTGGAATCACAGCTATTGAACTAGCTAAAGGTGAACCACCGAACGCAGATTTACATCCAATACGCGTTCTTATGCTCATTCCAAAGAACCCTTCACCTCAGCTCACTGGAGATTTCAGCAAAGTATTCAAGGATTTTGTAGATTGTTGTTTGACTAAAGTCCCAGAAAATGTAAGTTTCGGTATATTCATTGTAAATTACCAGTGGAATATATCATCACAGTTGCCCCATAGTGTTCTTGAATTATTTGTTCCATACATGCTTCACGTTAGATTTTTATAATTCAATACAATTATATACAATCAACGACTCTATTTAGGCATAACTCAGAACATTATTTAATTTCTATTTCATTTACCGAAGCAAACCAGTACAGTGTTACCCGTCGTTGTCTTTTCTTAGTCCTCCGCTTACTCCCCAACCGACTGCAGTTCGGATGAACTAAAGAATGACTTCTACCAGAAACCGTCTAATTTTCTGCGGAAAGCAAACGCTCAGATATAGTTATTTCAGCAGGCGACTTCAATGCCCAAGTTGGGAAGTTGTACCAGATTGAGTATATAGATGGTACGTACGGAGTCCCCTGTCGTCGAACCGACAATGGTGATCATATTCTACAGTTTTGTTCAGATAACCATCTGTTCATAATCAGCAGTAACTTTAGGCACAAAGAGAGACATCACCTAACCTGGCGACCACCATCACCAAATCAACGTTGGACTGAAATAGGCCACATAGCGATAGGGTATCGTTGGAGGGGGTCCTTAAAAACTGTAGCTACTTTTGGAACACATGCGTAGACTGCGACCACGCTCTGGTTCGTCCACGTTTATGCTTACGACTAAACGTACATAGGAAATTGATGGCAGCAAAACTGTCACGTCCCCAACTAGATCAAGACACTGAGTCCATTTAAAGAAGAAATAGCGAAACGTGTATCTCAGGTCGACAAAGAGACTTCTGATGAAGCCTGGCACAACACACAGTTAGCTGTAGACACAGCTATAAAGGCTGTTAATAACCTGAAAATAAAAGTTAGTAAGAGCCAGTAGATTTCCACTACCTCATGCGAACTGGTGGACGCAAGAAGACTGATTCCAGCGAGTTCCGATTATGATGAGGAGCGAAAGGTACTTAAACGAAGACTAACAAAAAGTCTTCGCAACGACCGTGAATAGTGGTGGGCGACGAAAGCGAAAGAGATGGAAAAGGCATCAGCGATTGGCAACACCAGACAACTATTCAGGCTTATCAGGGAAACAGTTGGCAAAAGGTAAATGATAAGTGAAACGATCTCTGAGGAAAATGGCACCATAATTAGCTTCCAGGATAGACGACTGGAACGCTGGAAAGAACTTTTTGAGGAGCAGTTTAATTGGCCTACAGTCACATTCAACTTACCGAACATTCAACATCTCCCTGAATGGGATATAGACACAGGTCCTCCGTCACTAATTGAGGTTACTAAAGCTGTTACTAATCTGAAGCATGGCAAAGCAGTGGGACCTGATGGAATGATTCCAGAGGTATTTAAGTACGGTGGAGACAGTTAACTGTCTGCATTAAGTGAGGTTCTAGGCAGCGTCTGGGAATCAGAGGAACTCCCATCGGGTTGGTGTAAGTCACTGATCCCGATATACAAGAAGGGAGACAAGTCTTCTTGTGATAATCACAGGGGGATTAGCTTGACTAATATAATATCTAAAGTTCTAGGCTCAATAATCATAAGTATGAGTAGACTAAGCGGCACTGTGGAGAAAAAAACACGAGAGAACCAGACAGGCTTTAGACCAGGAAGAGGGTGTATTGACCATATCTTCACGCTTCAACAGATTGTGGAACATAGGCATTCTTACCGGTGTCCAACAATCGTCATATTTCTTGACCTAAAGGCGGCGTTCGATTATGTCAACCGAGAGGTACTCTGGCGATGCTTGGCTGTAAAGGGAATACCGAGAAAATGCATTGCACTGATTAAGGCACTCAACTCGTACTCATGCAGCCAGGTGAGGGCTTATGGCGAGTTGTCATCTGAAGTGGTGACGACAAGTGGCGTCCATCAAGGATGCCCACTATCTCCATTTCTATTTAGTTTTATCATAGACATACTAATGGACTTAACCCTAACTGACTTAAGCAACTCAGGGATTGATTTTTTACCAGGGAATATTCTCGTTGACTTAAAATATGCGGATGATATAGTCCTGCCTCCTAGATGAAGACACTGACAAAATGTAGAGTCTTCTGAACACCTTGAGCAGCGAACTGTCTTTGAATGGTCGTCATGCGATTCGCTCCCACCAAATGTAGATGATGCTACAGGATGGGACTTCATCGACTCCTAGCATAAAGATAGGGAGTGAAGTGGTAGAGCGTGTTGACCACTTCACTTATTTGGGGAGTTGCATCAGTCCCAACAGGTTGATGGATGACAAAATCTCAGCATGGATGCAAAAGGCTTGTATTGCATTTACCAACTTACATCATCTCTGGAGTAGATGTGATATCCGGCTATCGACCAAAGGGCGTGTATACTACCCAGCAGTCCTATGGCTGTGAGACCTGGCCATTGAGAGTGGAAGACATGAGAAGACTAGCTATCTTTGATCGTAGGTGCCTGCCTTGTCTCCTGTGTTAAGTGGTATGATAAGGTGAGCAATATTGAGGTTAGGCGTCGAGTGAGTGCTAGGTAGAGAGGGGAAATCAATCGACGAGGCTGTGAAGCAGTTGCATCGATTGAGATGGTTAGGACATGTGTTACGTATGCTTAGGCATCGCCTTCCTCGATGGGCAACATTAGCTGATATAGGATCAGGCTGAAAAGAGCCAGTAGTGGTCAAACCAAAACATGACATTGGTCACTGAAGTCCACAACACTTAGTTTGAGCCACGCAGGGAGATGTAGACTTCCCGGTTGGGGTTCTCGGGATGGTAAAAACCAATGGCTGGAGAAAATCGGTGATATGTCTCAAAATTATTCTCAATGGTTGGTGCAGATGCACCCACTCTTTTCGAATTATAATATCCAATAAAATTCTATTGTTCTTCCATATTCTTCTTCTTTGTACGTCATGTTTCTGTTTATTATCTCTGTTTTGTATCTCTCCTCTTGCCTTTGCCTGTGTGCCACATGGAGTGTGGCAACTCGAACTGCTGCGTATGTTAAAACCAGTTAGTCAGTCACAGTGTTGCATTATTTTGCTTATGTTGTAGTTCTCTGTGGATCGTAGTTGATTTTATATGTCAGCCTACTAACTTAATTTCTTGAACAACGTGTAAACTAAGTAACCAATGCACTGCTACACTACTTATTATTTTATTTTCTAAGATTCAGTTGGCAGGTAGTCGTTTATGTAATCTGAATAGATGGAGATGTCATGTTGTTGTAAACAGTCATTTAGAAACACCAAGTACATGTTGTGCACATAGAAAGCCCTGGTAATTCCTTAGAAAGTATAAGTAAAACAAAAGATTTATAGTGCTCTGAAGTCCTGAAGGCAATCAAGATGCTAAAAGCTGAAAAAGCATCAGGACCACATGGAATCCCAGCGGAAGCATTGAAAGTGGACCCAGAGACAACAGCGGACTTGATGACGCCACTACTGGAGAAGGTGTGGAAAGAGAGCAAGGTACCCGAGGATTGGAAGAAAGGATACTTATTCAAACTATCAAAGAAAGGAGACTTAAATCAATGCAAGAACTGGTGCGGCACTATTCTCCTGTCCATCCCAAGCGAAATACTGAGCTGCATCATCCTGGAGGGAATCAAACAAGCCCTGGATGAAAAACTTCGACCAGAACAGGCTGGATTCAGGAGAAACAAGTCATGCATTGATCAAATCACAACACTACGGATCATCATTGAACAAAGCTTGGAATGGCAGTCACCTCTCTATCTCAACTTCATCGACTTTGGAATTGCATTCGACAGCGTCGATCGAGAGGTGGTTTGGCAACTACTTCGCTACTATGGGGTGCCACCGACAATTATACATTTCATCCAACAGCTGTACGACAATGCTGCATGCCAAGTAATCCACAACGGGAAACTTACGGAATCCTTCGAAGTGAGGACAGGAGTAAGACAAGGCTGCCTACTATCGCCAATGATTTCGCTGATTGCAGTAGATTGGAACCCAAGGGAACAATAATAATAATAGTAGATTGGATAATGCGACAAACAGCGGGCAATGAGGAAACAGGCATAAGATGGACTCACACAAAAACTTGGACTTCGCCGATGATATATGTCTGATTTCCCACAAACTGGAAGATATGCAAGCGAAAAGCAACAAGTTGGCAGAAGAAGCATCAAAGATAGGACTTCAGGTGAACATAGAGAAAACAGAGGTAATGAAGATTCCTGGACAAGAACAACAACAACAGACAACGGTCAGCATAAATGGGAGGAACCTGAAAGAAACAACCTCTTTTACCTACCTGGGAAGCATCGTTTCAACTACAGGCAGAACTGACGAGAATATCAAAGCAAGAATCGGAAAAGCAAGACAAGCTTTCACTACTCTCAAGTCTGTGTGGAGGTCAACAGCACTCAGCATGGAAAACAAGATCCGGATTTTCAACTCCACTGTGAAGTCAGTGCTACTATACTGATCAGAGACTTGGCGCGTCACGAAGGGCACTTCGAACAAACTACAGACCTTCATTAGCAGTTGTCTTCGCTCAATACTCAAGATCAGATGGCCAGAAACGATTAGCAGCAGGGATCTCTGACAATAAACGAACCAACCAGGAACCTATTGTGAAACAAATAGGGAGGAAGAAATGGAGATGGATTGGCCATACTCTGAGGAAACCATCAAGTGACATCACTAGACAAGCCCTCGAGTGGAAACCGAAAGGGAAGCGGCGAGTTGGTCATCCAGGGGTGACATGGAGAAGGTCTTTTGTAGAGGAGATGAAAGCATGTGGACAGTTGTGGAGCCAGGTAAAAACGTTGGCAGAGAACTGAATGCAATGTAGACGCACGGCTGAAGCCCTATTTTCCTCTAGGACTTAAAGGAAACATTATGATAATGACGTTTGCTGTTCTGTCAGCGTAAAGCTTATGCAATGTTTTATTATGACCCCTTAAATTATGTCTACAAAAGATTGGACATAATACCATTCTTCAGGATTAATATCTCTATTTTCTCCAGATAAATGTGTATTTGTGTCTTCTCCAAATAGAGAGCTGTATACATGTAGACTTCGTGGCTGACTGAAGTAATTAAAGAAAGAGAATTCCAAAATACTCACTTCACATCAAAGTAAGCATTGAGGAGCTCGTCCAAGAGGAAAGCTCGGCATTGGAACCACCCACGACTGACAGAATACAGCCAAACGAAGCAACTAATCAATTGTTCGCTTTTTATGATTATTGAGCATATTCTACTACCAATAGTACAATATGTTTTCCACAAATCTTTTAGAATAGATAAATATATAACCATCATTTTTGAAACTTTCTCATTGTCTTTTTATCAGAGACCAACAGCACACGAACTGTTACGTCATAGCTTCATCAAAAAAGCACGTAAAACAGCTTTTTTACAAGAGCTTATTGAGCGTTATCGAAAGTGGCGTGATGAAGGAGGAGACGATGATGCTGACGGTGAATCTGATGATGATGGACTGTAAGTTTGAATTGAGAGTTCCTTACGTACTTTGAAAGTTTCTTTCCTTTGGCTGTCACTTTACTTATATATCACCGATTAGAATAAACATCTTCATCTGTGTCATACCCGCAGTCGATTGTTGGTTAGTCAGCTCAACGTTCAAGGTGCCTAACTAGGTATTCATAACAGCATGAATAAATTATACGCAGCATAGCACCGCGGAACTTAATTCATTCTCTTCTGGAACTGTTAAACTAATCAATTCTATTAACGAATTACGAAGTGAGTAGCAGGAAATCTGCCTTCTGATAGGTTCCAGCAGGTCGACTAATTGTTGGGCAATACAATCATAAGATGAATTTGTTATATCAAAGGCAGGGCAAAGAGGTGCATCTTTCTTGTGTACTTTCGGCAGTCTGTGCAGTCGCCATGTGGTGTCAGGCATACCTTTTAGTCCTATTCTTGACATGGCTAATTCAACTTAACTCATTACCCTTAAAGTTAGTTAACCTTCTGGAGCCAGTCAGAATGCAGGTTTCCTGTCACTGAGAAATTTTCTTCTACTTGAAAACGTCAACTTTTTTAATCAAATAATACTTAAATTTATATTGATATTCATTTACTGACTGAGAATTTTTAGTTAGAGTAGAAATAAAATTCCTCAGTCTTCTTCAACAAGTACATGTAATTAGACATTCAGATTTACTTTTTCCACCATTCATTTATTCATGATTTTGTATATGTACTAATCACCCCTTTAAAACCTGCAAATCTGCCTGTTTTATGTCGCAAATGAAATCAAAAGTAAAACAGACACATAGACAAATTAACTTGTTGTACTGTATATTTATAATTCAGAAATATGATATATTTATTCGATTTTTTTAGTTTATTTTAATTTTACTATTTGTTTGATAAGGAGTTACAGTGGCATCAATTCGAAGACTGGTGTTTAGTACGAACACACATACAAACACACACTCTCTCTATATATATGAAACAAATTACCATCCACTTTGTGTATTAGATTTAAATGTAAAATCCACTACAAATACTCAGGTGCTTTTATAATCTCACCCGGTCTCTGTATTAGTAAACGCAATGTACCCTACATACGATTTTCATGAATTTAATTAATCATGGGAGGTAGAAGGTTTTCTTATAATTCTAGACGTCAGTCAGAGGTCGTAGAATGACTTTTGGCTAACTTTATATTTCAGTATTCATTTTCATTTCAACCACGTACTTCGCCTTGCTACCAAATTTGTTTTTATAATTCCTTTGAAATTTATAATGTCGAACTAATTTTATGTGGCTATCATGATGTCACGGACGGCAACGAAGGCCCTGATACAATGGGAGGCGATCTCGCCCAAGATATTGACCGCCTGATTCAACTCAAAAGGAAGGAGAGTGACAATCATACAATGCCATACACCCACAAACAACGCAGACCTAGAAAAGAAGGAAAAGTTCTACAGGTAACAATGGACAATACTCCAGTTGGTGACAATAAAATCCAAATGGGCGACGTGAACGCCAAACTGGGATCAGACAACACAGGAAGAGAACTCATCATGGGTAGAGAAGCTCTCGGAGAAATGAATGAAAATAGAGAACTCTTCGCCGACTTCTGCGCCTTCGATGAACTAGTGATTGGCGGCAGCGTATACAAGCACAAAGATATCCACAAGGCTACATGGGCGAACCAGAAACCAAACTGACTTCATCTCAATCTCAGGAAAGTGGAGACGCAGCTTACTGGACACAAAAGTAAGAAGAGGAGTAGACGTTGCCTCAGACCACTATCTCGTACAAGGGACAATCCAAATCAAACTAAAATATTTCAAAGAAACAGGAGCTGCAGACAGACCACAAGCCAAGTTCAATAATCAAAAACTGAAGAATCGGGCCACAATGGACGTCTTCACTGCAAACATGAGGGAGAAGGTGGAGACACAAATCAACACTAGCGAAGAGACCAGCGTTGAAAAGCACTGGGACAGCCGGAAAGCGGTGTGGAGTCAAACCTCCATGGAAGTTCTAGGCAGAAAGAAGAGACCGGACAAACAGTGGCTCACTAGGGACACATGAAGACTAATAGAAGAGAGAAGGATGGTGAAACAAAAGATTATCCAGTGCATCGACGAGCAACAAAAACAGGAGTTGAATGCAAGCTACAATAAACTGAACAAAAGAGTTAAAGAAGAGTGCCAGGGAAGACAACAGAAAACATTATGAAGCCATGGCAAGTGAAGCAGAACAAGCTGCAGGCAAAGGGGACCTCGCAACACTCTACCAAACAACTAGGTACTTTTCGGGCAAAAGTTGGACACCAATTAAGCCAGTGAAGGATGCCAATGGAAAGTCAATCATCAAAGAAGTGGAGCAGAAGAAGCACTGGGCTGAACACTTCAAAAGACTCCTAAATCGACCACCACCTACAACGCGCCCAACAATACCAACGAAGGAGACAGAACTACCAGTGAACACCAACCCCCCGACGAAATCAGAAGTCCTGAAGGCAATCAAGATGCTAAAAGCTGAAAAAGCATCAGGACCACATGGAATCCCAGCGGAAGCATTGAAAGTGGACCCAGAGACAACAGCGGACTTGATGACGCCACTACTGGAGAAGGTGTGGAAAGAGAGCAAGGTACCCGAGGATTGGAAGAAAGGATACTTATTCAAACTATCAAAGAAAGGAGACTTAAATCAATGCAAGAACTGGTGCGGCACTATTCTCCTGTCCATCCCAAGCGAAATACTGAGCTGCATCATCCTGGAGGGAATCAAACAAGCCCTGGATGAAAAACTTCGACCAGAACAGGCTGGATTCAGGAGAAACAAGTCATGCATTGATCAAATCACAACACTACGGATCATCATTGAACAAAGCTTGGAATGGCAGTCACCTCTCTATCTCAACTTCATCGACTTTGGAATTGCATTCGACAGCGTCGATCGAGAGGTGGTTTGGCAACTACTTCGCTACTATGGGGTGCCACCGACAATTATACATTTCATCCAACAGCTGTACGACAATGCTGCATGCCAAGTAATCCACAACGGGAAACTTACGGAATCCTTCGAAGTGAGGACAGGAGTAAGACAAGGCTGCCTACTATCGCCAATGATTTCGCTGATTGCAGTAGATTGGAACCCAAGGGAACAATAATAATAATAGTAGATTGGATAATGCGACAAACAGCGGGCAATGAGGAAACAGGCATAAGATGGACTCACACAAAAACTTGGAGGATCTCGATTTCGCCGATGATATATGTCTGATTTCCCACAAACTGGAAGATATGCAAGCGAAAAGCAACAAGTTGGCAGAAGAAGCATCAAAGATAGGACTTCAGGTGAACATAGAGAAAACAGAGGTGATGAAGATTCCTGGACAAGAACAACAACAACAGACAACGGTCAGCATAAATGGGAGGAACCTGAAAGAAACAACCTCTCTTACCTACCTGGGAAGCATCGTTTCAACTACAGGCAGAACTGACGAGAATATCAAAGCAAGAATCGGAAAAGCAAGACAAGCTTTCACTACTCTCAAGTCTGTGTGGAGGTCAACAGCACTCAGCATGGAAAACAAGATCCGGATTTTCAACTCCACTGTGAAGTCAGTGCTACTATACTGATCAGAGACTTGGCGCGTCACGAAGGGCACTTCGAACAAACTACAGACCTTCATTAGCAGTTGTCTTCGCTCAATACTCAAGATCAGATGGCCAGAAACGATTAGCAGCAGGGATCTCTGACAATAAACGAACCAACCAGGAACCTATTGTGAAACAAATAGGGAGGAAGAAATGGAGATGGATTGGCCATACTCTGAGGAAACCATCAAGTGACATCACTAGACAAGCCCTCGAGTGGAAACCGAAAGGGAAGCGGCGAGTTGGTCATCCAGGGGTGACATGGAGAAGGTCTTTTGTAGAGGAGATGAAAGCATGTGGACAGTTGTGGAGCCAGGTAAAAACGTTGGCAGAGAACTGAATGCAATGTAGACGCACGGCTGAAGCCCTATTTTCCTCTAGGAACTTGAGGAAACAGTAATAGAATAATAATTATTTGTACTTCAAATTATTTTGCACTATTTAATTCTTTTTCGTGAGAAAGCTTAGAAATGTGTTGAGCGGAATTCTATGTGTTTAAAGGTATGTCAATTTTTGGTGAGAATTCTTTGAAAGCGCATTGCGTTCTGATGACTCTGTGTAATTACAATAAATGTTTGAGTCGATGGTTCATTGATAGAATGCTCTCTAACCACGCTTATGATGCAGGGTTTGATATCCTGCTGATGCACTTCGTAACATCCCGTAAGCGGTAGTCAACTCAATAAAGGAGGAAGGTTGGTCTTTGAGGTTAGCGATCTTACAGCAAAAAAAAAACAACACCAATACTGTTGAAACTTCCAAGTTCAGACTTGAATCTCCATTTCCCACTGAGAACGTCAAGCAATGACAAAAAAATCGAGAAACTTGTACAAAACACAGTTGCATTAGAAAATTGCGTAGTTTTTATCCTTAGCTCGTATTGCCCTTCAAAAGTGTTTGCATGTTATTTTCACGTGTTTCAGAACATTAGGAGCACTCATTATTAACTTAGATTCTTCAATGTTATTGTGTGTATATTTACTCTGTTTCCTAATATTTATGTTTTGGTCATCTGACTGTTAGTAGCATTGACCAATGCGACCATTTATGATTGTTTACTTTCTGTGAATAATCATCTTGAAGGTGGAATTTACCCATTTCTCACTTACTTTTGTGTTCAATCTATCTAGTCAGAAGATCAATTTGAATTTTTTTTTAACGTTTTCATGTCTATATGTGGTGCTTCTGAGAAAATATTGTCGCATTAGTAGTACAGCATTCTGTTTATCTGGTTAGTGCAATAGAAATGAGACTACTTTTTTGTGAAACTCATATGTACTTCATAATTTGAATATTTACCTCATTAGTGTTGTTTCCGAAGTGACAAATCCTAGAAAATCATGGCGGATAAAGTTAATAAGTAAGAGAAGTCCTAGCCGGAATGGAGATAAGTTTGTCTATGTACAACTGTATTTATTTATGTAGCTTCCAATTTAGGTAAATCAAGACGAAAAGCTCCCTATGCAGTGAATTTAAGTAATAGGCAGTTGAATTCTTGCCGTTGTGTGATTACTATATTTGACATCAATAACCATATACTGCAAGCTAGATACCAAGTCATCAAGTTTCCTTGATTTGACTACAAGTCCTATGTTTGCTTTATAGTACTAGAGTTTGTATTCTGTTCCTAAACATTTTTATTGCATCAGCGAACACGTACAAAAGGGGCTTTTGGTGTTTGAATATTTTTTTTTTAGAGTTCTCACCACATGTTTAATATGAAGCACTGTCAACAGACTAGAAATGTATCTCCTTTTATTGACTGAGTTTCTTAATACCTTTTTTAACTAGTGTTCCAGATGAAGAAGATCTTATGAATCCCCAACCAGGTACTCCAGGAGTTGCTGCAGCTGGTGACAAGTCTGCTGCAAAGAAAAAAACTTCGGACAGTGCAAAATCAGGCAAAGCGTCTGACACTTTCAAATGGAATTTTGAAACAGTGCGTGCTATGCCTTCACAGTCTTCATCGTCCTTTCATAGTTCTTCTTCAGCTTATTCCTCCCCTGATACCTCCTCAACACATACCAACGCACATATTCATCATTCTCCTTCATCTTCACAGCCGAATTCAGATGTTCATGGTGGGATTAAACGAACACCTGAAAGTAGTACACCGGAAATGTCAGATCGTCACATGTCTGATGGAAATGAAGCGTAAGTTAACAGAAAATATTAACTTTATGATATACATTTATATATATATTCCGTAAATTTCCTCCAGTTTCTTATGCTTATAAAATAAAATGCTCGTTTGAATTGTATGAATTCATTAGGCCTAATCATCGTTAATCTCTTCTCACGCTTCATAATATTTTGTAGTCGCATTCAGTTTACCACTTTCGTCACTACTGTTTACTTCAATTTTATGACTTCAAGAACTCTAAGGGAATTTATTGATTAGGACGTATATATATAATCTACAGGACGATCCGTGTTCAAAGTTACACAATATTTTTACAAGCCAAGTTTAGCACATATTTAGATTCCCTTCTTTCTTAAAACTGTTAATTGATATCTTTACTATTCTCACTAAGAGTTGCAAATGTAATGCTGAATGAGGTAGGTTTAAAACTCGATGTGTTGATTGATTGTCATACTAGTGTTTGTGGTTTTTTTTATGCCTTTATTGTTTCATACCTGACGAGTAATTTCATTAGTTTTTTTAGTAACATAATCAACAATAATTATTAACAAAATATGTATTCATACACAGTGATTTGTTTACAATGCATGACGTCAAATATTTCTTATCACTTAAAATAGCGGTTTAGTTGAGTAGTGATTCTGCTTACGACTGTATGTAGTTTTTGTGTATTAATTAAAAATGTTTTATTTTCTCTTCTCAAGCAGTTACTACAGATACTTCTTTATTTAACTTAAAATGTGTAAGGTAGTTGTGAAAAGTTTTTATTTTGAGTTTTTATACTTCATATTTTCGAAATTATCTGAATCTTTATTTAAATATTAACGACATCTTAGCTATTTATGTAAGAAACTCCTGTTTAAATCATTTTGTTTATGGGTGACTAACAGTGGAATTCTTCCTATTCGGGACACGTCATCTGGTTGCGCCTGCATTCCCAGTGAGTGATAGTGTTCCCACTGAGACTTAATTCATGCACTGATCGTTTAAAAGTAAAAACATTGTGTTTCACCTTCCTACTTCCATTTTTTTATTGAGCATATCTTTCTACGTTTTAATGTAAACAATCGTTGTATTGAAGACATTCTGAATTCTTTTCCACCAGTTGTTTGAATTGTATTTGTATATTTGCGACATCCATATGTACATTATTACACACGACTTATTTGTAAAAGTCCTGCTTAATCATTGAGCATCAATTACTCAAAGTAGTCGGCTTCATCCACTTCAGCCTTCGTGTTATAGAATGTGTTTCACAATTCTGTTTTTGTGAGTTCATACTTTTATTTTTTTCTTCATGATTAACTCACATTGACTTACTTTCGTATAATTTTACTATTGAGTTAAAATTAATATTTACTCCTCTTGTTTTTATCAAGTAGATCAAATCTTGTGTAACCTGTATTCTTTCTTTTTCGCCTTCTAACTAGACGCACTTCAAATCCTTTGGCAACGGGACCTCATTATTCAGGTATCCAGTCATCACAACTTGCTTCCTGTATAGTTGATGAAAATTCTCGTGCCCAGATGTCACGCCCTATAGGAAATTCTCCGAATCAAGTAACTGGCCCTACTAGCATACCCATTGTCCGACCACAACTTGTTCCACCTGTAACTAGAATTATGGCCAATGAGACTTCATCTCAGTCACCAGGATCTCGACAAGTGTATGGTAGGTTGCTTTTATTTTCTACCAAGAAATATTTCCATGAGGTTCACTAAATATTTACTCTTAATTCAACCAGGGTGACTGATCGGTGTCATCAGCTTTAACAGTAACTACTGTGATTGATAATCACACCTTGGGAATTTCCAAGGTTCATTTCATATGGAAGTTGTCGCTAAAGATATTGTCCAAAAAGGCAGTAAAAGCTCCGCTATTAAATCACCCAACTCAGTAAAACACAAAGACAGTGAAAAATGTTCACCTCTGTTACAAATATTTACTATTTCATTCTGTCCCGGATAACAAACAAACAAATTTTTATAGTTTTCGAAAATTTTAACTACAAGCAACAATCATATATAGCTTTTTGTTGTGTACTGCATTCTTACTTGCTAATCCAGCCAGAAATAGATTGTGCAGGAACCAGTTTTGGTTCATCGCGTCATGTTGCTGGGTTTATAATAAAAAGTATCGTGTTGTGGATTTGCCAAGTATTGTATTAATTGGTTTTGCGAACTTGTTAGACGCTAGTTGTGTGGTAAAATATGCCATGGAATAAGTATCCATTTAAATATATATTGCGCACAGATTCACTGTTGACCAGTTCATTAATTAATTTTGTCCCCGTATTCCAGAGTAGTGTGAAGCATAGTGATAGTTTTTCAACGACAGCTTTATCTTGACATATCAGGTTATAAGTATTGTGGATAGGAAAATCCGCACGCGTCCTACACAAACCGACATTATTAAGAACTGGCTTTAAATAAGTTCATTGAGCTATCACTTTATTTTATTGAAGTGGATAATTAAGCATGATTCTCTCCTTTAAAACTTTCAGCCTATTACCATAACGTATTAATTTGCAGTTATGCTATGCCCCTTATTTCTGCTTTTTAAAAACCCTTTTGCTACCATTACTCAGTATTAGAAGGCGAATAAGAATTGCAAGCGTATGCCAGTAAAAGCCGTTATCAACGGGATTGCTTTGTGTGCTGATTCAAAGTGAATATAATTTTGGTCTGATTCACTAACCCCTATCATTTTTAGGTAACATATCTTCACATAAATGCATTTGACCCAATTCTGTAACATATAGATGTCATGTGCTTGAGAATAGTATATGAAATTATGAATACTGATAATATTATCAACAGTCTTTACCATTTATTTAGTCTTAAAATAATTCTGACATCATATAAGCGCGAGTGTGAAAGAAAAAAGTTTAGGTGCACGTTTAATTCATTGTCTTAGAGAAAATAAAGTTGGTTTCTATGAAATTCACTTATTTAAAAACAGTGTAATAAATACTGCTATTTGTTGTGAGGATTAATTTTTTTTTCTAAATTTCATTAATTTAATCCTCATCGCCTTTTTTATAGTTGGAGATTCTGGTCAGACAAAAGTGTCCAATTCGAAAAACATTTCAACATCAGCTAATAACAAACCTCAACAGGGTCAAATACCCGCATCGGTTGTGACCTTAAATAAACCTTCTTCTTGCTTTCAACAACATGTCTTACCATTGTTACAAGACGTAAGTCATTTCGTAGTTTTCTGTAATGAAACGCTGATATATATATATATATATATATATATATTCAATTTTTGCAAGTTTTACTCGGTAATATAAGAGTACTTAAATAATTTAATCAATGTAAATTTAGCAATCAGTATTCTTTTTTGTTCACATATCTTAGTATTTTTATTTGACTACGCAGTTTGTCTAGTAATGTTTTTTGAAAACTACAAAATGATTGCAAAAAGTCTGGTAAACAAGAATCAGTTCTATTTTTATACAACACAGCACCTAACTAATGGAAGTTCTAAAATGAAAAAGAGAATAAAAGTAGACTTGACAATTTCGTATCAAAGTTTCTGTAAAAGAAAGAAATTGCTTCCATCGCAATGGATAGGATTTGCTGTCTGTTATGTTAAATAACGACCATTTTTTAAAATTCAGCTTTCCAGAGACAGCTTTTTCGTTTTTGATGTAAGTTGCCTCTAGACAATATTCTGAACGTAGAATAAAGATGCACTTAGCTGAGAATTTCAGAATGTTTTGCTCGCTTTCTCAGCGAGAATTTCTCTCTTAACCCTAATTCAAAGCAATACGACATCTGCTTCCTATCTGTTTCCGCAAATATTATGAAGACTTTAACAATACAACCGCTCTTGTTTTCTTATTATCATATGCTTTTGATGAAGCTGCCCAATGAGCAGTTTTGCAACCAGGACTAACGTCTTACGTGGTCAGTTGCTGAAGCTGTAGGTTTTCATCGACGCAATCTATCATCACCTTATGACATCTAGTAACCCGATAATATTTTTAGAAGATCACATTCATTCGGATACACTTCACAGTAGTCTATCAACATATCAACGTATTGCTTCTTTTACGGGCAATACATTTTAAAAGTTGTTTAATTATGCGAGTCACATTTGTCTGTGGGAATTTGTAACTGAAGATGCTGGAGTTATTGATCATTTTAACCACCAATGTGTCTAAATGTGATTTAAATTTAGTTATCAGGGTGTCTTTTGTCATAGATTATCAAGTGTATACTAATCTATTAAATACTGTGGACTGGATTATCTAAGACTTTCAGAAGTTCATCGCTACCCAAATGTGTATAGGTGTATTTCTGTTTTATGTATGGCGATGTAATCTGTCACTAAATATTTTATCAGTTGACACTGCTTCACGAACATTAATTTTCCTTAGTTGTTAACTTCATCACTATCAATTTTTAATCATGTATCGATATACCACTTGATAAGATTGAGAAGTTCACTATAAACAGCATTGACAATATAGGTGACATCGTTTTGTTTCATTTGATTCTCAGTATTCAATCGTGTTGACCTTCAGTCAGTAAATATTTGACATATGAATATTATTAGTACAAATTTAAACTTCCTTAATATTAGTTCAAGGTACAGAATTAAAAACAAATCAAATTGTGTATGGATTTGTGAGACCACTGGACAACTGTTTTAAAATTAACAAGATTAATTTGAGCCGTTAAAAATTAACGTAATTATTGTAATAGTTGTATATGCAGCTAGGGAGTGGTAGGTGAGATGTGTAGTCAAAATACTCAAGGACCGTTGTGAAATTACAAATAAGCTTATAATAATAAAGCTTTATTCGAGACAATATGCGTACAGCAATTTTCAGCGTATTTGGTTCTTCATACAGGATTTACATGTAAAGTAATAATCTGAAGTATATCTTCATTTCGCTGAAGAATTGCACAGCGTTTACTTGGAAGCAAGTGAAATCAGCGCACAAGTTCATGTGTAGGTTATTTTATATAATTGAACGAGTAAAACAGTGATAGATCCAGGTATAATTAAGCATTTTGGTAGCCCAGTGATTTAAGCAGACCGCTACTCGTATATCATAATAATTGAAAGTAGTGAGAATAATAACTCTGTGAAGTAGAAATATAGAATTACCCTTTTCTTACTTAGATGAAGCTAAATTTTGGTGAGCTAATCGGATACAATATTTGTTTCTCAGAGTGGATGTAACGTTTATAAGTATTTAGAGTGGGTACTTTCCGTGACATTATTTTCCAACATAATTCATATATATATTTTTTGTGAGAAAAATTCACTTTTGTTTAACGTTGTATTATTATTATTTCCCCAAAGCTTCAAGATGTCTACAGTCAAGTAACTAGTGGTGCTTCAGATTCTATTTCTAATTTAGCGGCCACCTTTCAAACAGTTGATGCCTCATCACCTCAGTATACAACTGAATTTTTAGCAGAGTTGTTAACCCGCGTTTTGGATAGCAATCCACGTTTACCAGCGAATATTAGACGTCGCGTATTAGATCGTTTGAGGATGAATTCATCGGAATCATAATGTAAATTCTTTATATTTACTGTGGTAAGCATTCTTTGCTTATTCTTCATTTATCCATATTTCTATATCATATTCCCAGAACGAACTTTCTTTGTTTGGATTATCTGTGGTGATTGATTAAAGACGGTTTATTTAAAAATAATATAGAACATGTATATGTGTTGGAGAACTTTCTCGAAACATTCTGCAACCTGCTGAATGCTGTTCAACATATACATATATATTCTCGTCAAAATTCACTGAATCAGATGCAGGTTGGTGGATCTTTACGTGTCGTCTAGTGAATCACATTTTTTTACAGTCGAGAATATCACCAAACACTTTAAATCCTGGATGTGAAAGCTGAACTAATTCTGACACGATAGAGTTATTTCTTTGTAACCTAGGTAACTTAATGGCTGTTGAACATTTATAGAGCTCACTATGTCGTTTATCCAACTTATTTCCTCTGTATAGTTCTAGTCTGTATTTTTACTTTTTCCTCGATTAGTTACTCATTGCCTTGAGCACTTCACTTTCAACGAGTGGGTCCCCAGTTGGAGTTCTGCTCCAGCGTCTTCATCTTGGGTGACGGTAATGAAATCATGTATGCGGCTCATAAATCTAATATATGAATGCAGACAAGCCGAATTACTAAATTGAGCCACCAATAATTTACCATGAGTTTTTTGAAAACGCACATAGACTCCATACCTTATTATTAGATCATTGGTATAGAATAACTAGGTGACTGTGTTTAAAAAAATCCAACTAAAATGTTTCACTGATGAGGGAGTCACGTAACAGGTTATGAGAACGGGTAATTGTCGATAATATCGGACTGAAATGACAATGTCTCAACCTCAGTGACTTGATGATGATACTTGCCTTACTCTGTCGGTTGGTGACGAAACCTGCCTTCAAAGAGATGTCTCCATAAACAGCATAGTTATCTGTAGGTTGACTTTTGAAGAGGTGTAATTTTTTAACAAGTTAGGTGTTCAACAAAGTATCAGTATGTACGATCAATTTGTGTATTAGTTTTTCGACCTATTGATTAAGTTCATCTTACTAGTTATCCATCCTTTCTGTATTCTGTTTTTATTGTAGCAATTCGTTTCCTGTGAAGGATAGTTGAATATGTGCATCATTCTATTAGTTGACTTACGTATACACATTCAAATTACTGTCAGTCTAAAATGATGCACAATCGAAATCAGTTTAGTATCTTTTCTCTTCATAACTTCGTTTGAGTAATGACCATTATTCTTATGTTAAAAAAATTCTTTAAAATAAATCTGTCTCTTCATTTTTGTGTATTTCTGTATGTCAACAATGTGTGCTTTGTATACTATGTACTTCGACTAACTAACCAAACTAACTGACAATGTATGCTCAACCCTATTTTATCACATTCCTTTAAGTTTATTGATCTCTGCTACCTTGTATGCATCTTTTAAACTTTATATTACATACATAGGAATTTATAGACGTCCTTTAACCAGTTGGACGAAAATCAGCATAGGATGGAACTTACTTTTTTCATTCGCATTCAACACACACATACTTGCACTCATATCCCGTTCACCTACTTCTCCCACTCCTCGTCCCTCATTCCCATATTTGTTTTTAATTTAGTTGTATAACAAATAATAATAATAACATATAAAAATGATTGAATGAAATAGTATCATGTGGTCAGTTACTGATTAACAGTCAAATAAATTGGTTTACCACTTGTTCATATGTCGACTCACGCTAAACAAAGTGATAAAGTCGAAGAGATTGTTTGTAAAGAATAACTTATTCCATCCACATATTTCTCTTTTTCCTGCGGAAATTATCTATTCTTATATATGATGAGTAACGTCTCAATTTCTTCTCTATTGCATATTATTTCGCTACACAGTTTTAATATATATGTATATATATATATATATATATATATATATTGCAATGTGGGCATCGGACATACTTCCCTTCTTTTAAAATATAATATATTCTGTTTATTTTAGCGACAAAAAACTCAATGCGACTACCGTACTTGTTGTTGATATCGTAGTTTGTATTATTATTATTGTTACTGTTACTCTATAGGCATACATGTTTGCAATATTTTCCCACTTATCGAACTATGGTTGTCAGTCTTAGTTATATATCCTGCTGTAGTGTCTTTCATACGTATTATTTTTTCTTTTTATTCAGTTCCATTGTCTACTCATTTGTTTTTGTCTGTTTTTTCTACGCGTTCCTCCCTCCTTGGTTTTTATCCTCCTAAATCATTGTTTCTGTTTTATATGTGCATGTGAATTGGATATCTAAGTGAGCATAAATTTCATTGGTCAAACTAAACGCATATAAAAGTAAAAAAAATAAATGAACATTTTGATGAGTAACACTTTTTATTTTAATGTCAATAGCTTTATCCTTACAGAAAAAGAAATAATAACTGAAACTTGTTTGATTTTTATTTTTAAAGAAGTATTAGATATTCTCTACTGTCTAAATTGAAACAAGACCATTTATGCGAACAATATGTTGTTTTCAATTAAATCTTCCTCAACTGCAATGTAAATAGCTGTATGTATAAGATTTTAACCAAATAACGGTAAATTTGTGAATCAAATGTGTGCGTGTGCCAAATGTAAATATATGGCTTTAACAAAAACGATAATAGCAATGTCATTGACAAAAGTAGTTTGCGATGAGAACTTTGAAGATAGCAATCTAAGAATGTTTGGCATGCAATTCGCCCCTGTAAAATGTAAGATGATGCTGCAGGATTGGACTTCACCGACCCCTAGATTAGAAATAGGAAGTGAAGTGTTAGAGCACGTTGACCGCTTCAATTACTTGGGAAGTACCATCAGCCCCAACGGGTTGATCTCAGACGAAATTTCAGCACGAATACAGAGGGCTAGGTTCGCATACGCCAGTTTACGCCGTCTCTGGCGTAGACGTGATATCCAACTATCGACCAAAGGGCGTGTGTACTGCTCAACAGTCCGCTCCGTCCTCCTTTATGGCTGTGAGACCTGGCCATTGAGAGCAGAAGACATGAAAAGATTAGCTGTCTTTGATCATAGGTGTCTGCGTTCTATCTCCCGTGTGAAGTGGTATAATAAGGTGAGCAATATTGAGGTTAGGCGTCGAGTGCTAGGTAAGGCGGGGAAATCAATCGATGAGACTGTGAAATTACATCGACTGAGATGGTTGGGACATGTGTTACGTATGCCTAGTCATCGCCTTCCTCGACGGGCAATGTTAGCTGATATAGGGCCAGGCTGGAAAAGAGCTAGCGGCGGTCAAACGAAAACATGGCACCAGTCAATGAAATCCACAACAGTTAGTCTAAGTCACGTAGGGAGATGTAGACTTCCTGGTTGGGGTCCTCGGGACGGTAAAAACCAATGGTTGGAAACAATTGGTGACATGGCTGAAAATCGTTCTCAGTTGCTGGCTCAGATGCATCTACTCCTTGTGGTTTATGATTTCCGATGAAACTGTTTTGTTCTTCGTTATTACTACTCCTTTGTCTCACACCTCTGTTTACTGTCTATATTATGCATTTCTCCTACTTTCTTCTCTTTGTGTGCTACATGGAGTGTGGCGACTTGAACTGCCGCACATATGTGCAAAGTTCTATGTCGAAAACAGACAGATCATAATGTACACATCCGAAATCTTATGAGATTAGAAGTTAAATGATACTGAAGATGCAGGGGATAGATCCTGTTTAAATAAATGTATGAAAATGGTGGTTAAGCATGAGAAAGGTGTGAGATGTCTCAACTAGTTTATTAGATTGACCTAATCCAAGGAATAAACTTCTGAATGCAAAAAGTTAGGTTATTCTTGCAAATCCTCATACTTTTAGGTATGCGTAGATGAAGGGTTCGAAAGGTTCAATGAAATACCACTGATAATCATATGAGCACTTCTTTCCATCCACTTGGTGACCATTATCAATCTAATGAGACATAATTGAACTTGTATATGTTGTTTGATATTTTCCAAACCAAAAACAGCAATGCATTCCTAAAACTGTCCTGTGTTTGACCCCATGTTGCTTTCTCCACAGGATAATACAAATTTATAACTGTGCACAGAAGTGGTGCAGCTAAGTGGCTTAGCTTTCACCTGAGCGATTGTAGTTAGTCGGCTAAAAATGACAAACAAAATGTGTTCTTTTGATGGCTACAAACATTCTCTGGTGAAGAACTTCACTGCTCATGTGTCTGCTGAACTGGAGCTTCTTGAGCAACTGTTTCTTTTTAAGTGCGGTTGGTTTCATTTAATTGCATACAATGTTTACGTATCTCCTCATAAATATATTTTTATTCAAGATCAGGTGATTTATTCCACTTCCTATTTTAAGCAATTAACTAGACAAATAACATTTGAGTAGCGGAATAGACAACTAGGTTACAGGCATCAATCTGGGAGTGTTATATTTTTACATCGCATGCAGTTGCCCCACGACACTGATGACGTGTCGAATTGTCCAATCACAATGGCTTTCCTTGGAATCCATTTTTACTCCCTGACTCCTTTTTCACCTAAGGCATCATCTGTATTTTTTATCTTTCTGTCCTGAAGCTTCGGATCTTGCAATTCAGCTTGAAGCAAGTGATTAGATAAGTAGTGTTTGTTAAAACTCATTTTATGAAGTCAACCATTTTTTAGACTGGACTGAACTGAGTTTCTCAACATGAAACTTTACACAAAAATCCAGCAGTTCAAGCCGAAACACTTCATAAAGCACATTTAAAGGTAGAAAAAGCCATAGCAAAGAAGCTATAAGAAACATAAGTGTGTGAAAGAAAAATAAAAAAATTTTGGGTGTCACAACATTATGTTAGCTTGAGTATAATATTTGTCGATATCTCTTTTGAAGAAAATTCTGAGACTTACACAAGAAGTGAGTTTAATATAATCAGCATATAAAATTAACTGAACATCATTGTTCGTCCGTGAGTCTGGCCGGTTTTTTTTTTGAGATATCTGTCATTTATCCTTCTGCGCAGTGCTTACTCGATTCACTTCGCACTAGCCAATTGGCTTTTCTCTGTTCACTTGTATCTAGAGCACTTGGTTATTGTTGGTGGCTTTCTAGTACTCATATCAGTCTGTAGTATTTAATGTACAACCTTTATGTCCTTATTCTTGATACCACTTACAGATTACAATAACTCCATGGTGGGATGTCAGCTTTTATGTTTGCAAATCAGTTTTCAAGACATGAAGTGGAAGCCGAAGAATTCTAGAAATTGTTTTCACTGTTAAATATAGATTTCACTGAAGGACTGCACATATACTGAGCGGGAGTGTTTTCCTACTCAGGACTAAGTAGACTGTATCTGTAGCCTTCAGAAGGTATTTGTACATGCAACGACCAATAAACTGTCATACAAGTCAAGTTTGGAATATCAGCTTTCACAATCCTGAAATTCTATCAGATAAGAAAGTATCCCTTAATTACATTAGTTGGTTGTTGCGATGGTCAAGTCTTTGTTTGCAACAGATCTTTGACAACCAATGTGCCTATTTTATGTCGGTAAATGTAGTTTTTATTTGTGAATACCTCAAAGACTTGATCTCTAGAGTTCTCTATAAAGACGCAATGTCACTAGCAAATTTATTATAATCTTCAGTGGTATGTGAAAAACGTAGACGCACTTAAAGTATACAGTTACTATTTCTGACATGTTTAATATACTGATTTAAACAAAAATTCTCTCCATATCTCAATACCTCCATTATTATCAGTAACACATTTGTTAGATTTCAAATGCAGCAATGCAGATTAACTCTTTCCTTCGAATAATGCCAGAAAAATATCAAAGGCTATAAGTATATAAATTAATTCAACCAATAATCTAATGTGCGTCGGTGGCACAGTGGTTAGGACTCTCACCGACCATTCACATGGTCCGGGGTTCGATCCCCTGCCGACGCACACCCGATATCTATGGTCGGCCTGCAAACTTTGGGCTACCGATATCCATGCTGAAAATTCCATACTTGTACTGAAAATACGGTGTGGTATCAAGCTGTAATCAAATTTTAAAAAAAAATTAGATACTTATACTTTGTTTCATACGACTGATATATCTTGTTAAAGTAAGTAAAGACCTGAGAATATTTTATTCTAGGTTTTAAATCATAGGAGGTAATATTAAAGCTCGTAGTCTTTATCATGGAAGTACCATAATCAAGATTTGTATAATTAGGTTGACAAGTCATTTATTTGAAAGGCAATATTTTGCATTGATTCAGATAAGATTTTAATGTTTCTGTTGCTTCAACGTTTTACAAGGTAGTCTCGACAGTTATTATTATCATATTGTTATTATTTCCTTGGGTTCCTAGTGAAACACATGACTTCAACAGAACATCACCATTCCACTAGCTTCTCCGCAGTCCTTTTTAGCTGACTCCAAAATCGGCCATGAGCCCCCATACCCTCTTTGCACGATCTCATCCGCGTCACCCTCGTCGTTTACCATTGACGTCCGGCTCGAGGGCCTGGCGTGTGATGTCACTCAGCAGTGTCTTGTGTTTGATCCATTTTCACTTGCTTCGGCATATTTCATGGGCAATACGTTCTTAGATGGTTTGTTACCGGAGTTCCTTGTTGCTTATCCTTTCTGGCTGGATATCTCATCTTCAGTATTGTAAGAGTCTAAAGGTTGTTCGAAATGCTTTTAGTGACGCAACAAGTCTCCGAACTATTTAAAACAACCGACTTGATACTTATATTGAAAATCCGAGTCTTGTTACTCATGCTGAGCGCAGCATATTTCCAGACTGATTTCCCATAAATGAAGGTCTGTCTTGATTTTCCGATCTTGGCCAGTTTTGACATTCTCATCCGTACCACCTGTAGTTGAAAAGATGCTGCCGAGGTAAATGAAAGAAGCAACTTCCTACAAATTTCTCCCGTTGATGATGTCTGTTGCTTGTAGATTAGGAATCTTCACCACCTCTGTTTTCGTTTATTATACGCCAACTTGTATTATCACTGTCTCCCATAGTCACGATTATCACACAAATATTCTCTCCGTTCCACACTACTGGTTTGAGACATGACTACTGAAAATAGGAGATAACAAAAGGTTTCTGACGGAAGGCAGTTTCTTCTCATTGCTCGTATCAGATAAAGCAACGCGGCTTGTAATATTCAGATCAGATGTATACTGTTAGTTAAGAAAAACAAATCAACTAATGAGGCTGTAAAGTTGGTTAGGATATATGATGGGCCACAATCTGTCTTGAAAATCGGTGTGGAATGCAGGACAGTCAAGTGTTGATCGGATGAACCAAGATCCAGTAAGTAATCTTTCTCCCTTTACCTAAACAAATTAATTTTTAATGCTTGGAGAAGATTGAAGGGTGATGATAGCGAAATGCGGTGCACAGATTTTTTTCTGTCACGGTACCGTTGCGTTTAATTCTCCTAATCTGTGTACTTTATTGAAGCTCAGAAGCTTGAACTAACAGACGTCTGAAAATCATAAGGAGGAATACAGTAGGCATAGAACCAACTGCTATTTGTCAAATGAACAACACAAAGTGAGATGAGAGATGTGAGATTGGTGCATAGTTGTGTTCTTGTAGAACTTTCAAATCGAAAATTCTACGAACGTGCTTATGTGCAATTTGTATTACTATCTAATTTTAAAAATATTCTCAGAATGAAACAGATTTAATTTTCCGTTACTTAACAGATGATTTATCAAGTGTTATGCAGCATGTAGTACTGAATAACAGTCGCTTCCAAAACAGTTGCATTTTTTTAAGACTCATTTTAAAGTGTAAATTTGAATAGGAAAGGTGTTTCTTATAGCCTTAAGCGTTTTGTATTATCTTAACCACTTCTAAACGTTTACTATGAAACTCTCACACCTAGGAATAATAGGCTAATGAAGAATATTCCTATTAATTTTACACAGTTAACATAAAATTATCATGTATTGTTAGTGCATTATAATTTTTAATTAATTTTGATGTTTACAGGATTTCATCATGAGTTTACATTGGTTAGAGAACCATTGGAAAACCTGGGAGTACTGGAAAGATGTTTCGTCCTAGTTTGGGATTCTTCATCAGTACGCACCCACCGGGTTCGAACCCGGCCCAGTAGTCCCAAGGTTTTCCAATGGTTCCTCTAACCAATGTCAGCTCATGATTAAATTCTGTAACCAATCAACCAAATCCCTACAAACCAATACTTGAATAGTTTTGATGTGTTGACTTAATGATGAGTTTACTTGCATAAGTTAATTGTATGCTCTGGATCTAATCTTTATCAATGAGGTTACCATAAAATACATTTAGTGTTGATCATCTTCAAAAGCTGTCCAATTTTGAGCAATTTCAAACCAGAATCTTCTTTGTTTTAGGTGAATTTGATATATTATTATTATTATTATTATTATTATTGTTCCCTTGGGTTCCTAGTGGAACATAGGGCTTCAACTGCACGCTTCCACTTGCTTCTGTCTTGTGCTGTAATTTTCATTTGCATCCATGTTAATCCATACTGTTTCAGTTCCTCATCACACGATCTCCTCCATGTCACCCTTGGACGTCCCACTCGCCGCTTCCCTTTCGGGTCCCACTCGAGGGCCTGACGTGCGATGTCACCCAACGGCCTCCTCAGCGAGTGTCCAATCCATCTCCACTTTCTCCTGCATATTTGTTGGTCGACTGGTTCTTGTTTCGTTTGCCCCCATAGCTTCTTGTTGGTGATTCTTTCCGGCCATCTGATCTTGAGTATAGAACGAAGACAGTTGTTGATAAAGGTCTGCAACCTGTTGGAAATGTTCTTTGTGACCCGCCAAGTTTCTGATCCGTATGGAAGAACTGACTTGACGTTTGTATTGAAAGTCCGAATTTTGTTGTTGATGCTGAGTGACGGAGATTTCCAGATTGGTTTCAGGTTGATGAGTGTGTTTCACGCCTTCCCGATTCTCCATTTGACATACTCGTCCACTCCTCCTGTAGTTGAGACAATGCTCCCTAGATAAGTGAATGAAGTAACCTCTTTCAAATCCCTCCCGTTGATGGTGATTGGCGCTGGATGTTGCTGTTGTTGTTGTTGTTGTTGTTGATTGGTTGGTTATTTTCATAACCTCCGTCTTGTCTATGTTCACCTGGAGTCCTGTCTTAGCTGCTTCTTCGACCAGTTTGTCGGTTTTCGCTTGTAAGTCTTCGATTTTGTGTGACATCAAACATAAATCATCCACGCGCGAAATCCAGGTCTTCTAGGTTCTTCACGTCGGTCCAGGATATCCCTGTCTTCTCGTTTTGCACTGTCTGACGCATAATCCAGTTCACCACAATTAGGAATATCATTGGTGATAATAAGCACCCTTGTCTGACTCCTGTGTTTGCTCCAAACGCTTCGCTGAGTTTTCCGTTGTGGATCACTTGACATGTGCCGTTGTTGTACAGCTGTTGAATGAGGTTGGTGAATATTTGGGGTACGCCGTAGTACTCGAGTAGTTTCCAAATTACTTCGCGGTCAACGCTGTCGAAGGCCTTCTCAAAGTCTATAAAGTTGAGGTAGAGGTTTGATTGCCATTCCATGCTTTGTTCGATGATAATAATAATAATTATTGATAATAATGATTATTTGATAATAATAATTATTTGAATAAAGCAAGAACAACAGTGGTTTGTGCAGAACCAACCTCCTTGTTCACAATGATCCCAATCAATGAAACCATTGAAATCATTTGTCAACAGTCTGATCTGCTTCCACTACCAGAGTCAGAATTCAAACGCCTACTGCTAATGTGTACCATGGATGTACAATTCCAGTTTGATAACACTCTTTACCGACAAATAGATGGTGTAGCCATGGGCAGTCCACTTAGCCCTGTTTTAGCAGATATCTTCATTTCAAACCCTGACTGCACAAACCACTGTTGTTTTTGCTTTATTCAAATTCATGAAGGGAAATAAATGCATGAAATCATAATTATGTTGCTGATAACAAAAGTTATAAAGATATGGAATCAATAGGAGAAATCTAAAAGAAGTTATCTCTAGCATTTACATAAACACCATCGTTTCATCTACAGGTGGGTAGCAAATATGAGGATTTTAAGACCAGCCAGGAGCAAATCAAGAGAGCAAGACAGGTTCTTATTATTTTGGATTCGCTGTGGAGATCTGCAGCATTTTATTTATCTTTTTTAAATTTTAGCTTGATTCCACACAGTAATTTGGTACAAGTATGGAATTTTCAGCATGTGATATCGGTAGCCCAAATTTAACAGGCCAACTATTGATATCAGGTGTACGTCGGCCGGGGATCGAACCCCGAACCATATGCATGGCTGAAGAACAATATCTGAATATTCAACACTAATTTCAAGCTAATCAGTGGTTTTTGTTGCAAGTGTCACAAAAAGCATTTCCAGTAGCCTTCTACATGTGTTTCCTTCTCACGCTGGATACTGAATTTCAGATGGCCGTTTATAAAGGATAAACAAAAAGCAACTGTTTCAGGCAGCGAAATAGTCAACAGCCTACTTCCCTAAGAAAAATGCAGTATGAACTTCAGATAGATAGGCATAAGCTGAGGAGGTAGTCGAGTGACATCACACACCAGGTCCTTGAGTGGACCCGGGTGGGTTGCATGTTGGCAGAAGAAAATCAATTGGACAAGAAATGAAAGCTAACAGTCAGTCGTGGAGCTAAATGAAAATGACGACTGAGGACACCATACAGTTTACGTCTGCTACTGAAGTCTTATGTTTTATACTGAATCCAAAAAATGAATCAAAATGATAATGACAGGTCGTCGTCACACCTGTCAGATTTGAGAAAAATATCTGTCACTAATCTGTGAGTCATACAATGAATTTGTTACCTGGTGGTGAACAGCTTTGTTACTTTGTTGTTTAGATCATGGAAATACCTTCCATTCCAAACCATACAAATCAATCTTGCCATCTTCACATGTAAGTTGGCTGGATAACTTAATTACCAAATTTTTGTTGTTTTTTCCTGTTATTTCTGAGTGAAATTGTATCATTTATGCAAGCGAATTATTACAGCCACTGACGCAGTTTTTTATAAGAAGGAAGGACAAAATTATCACACCATCATCATGATCACTGATAATGAGTAATTTGGTAGACAGCAAAAAATAATTGTTATACTAGGCAGTAAACATGATAATATAATTAGTGTACTGTCAAATAATTGCAATAATAATCATCATAACATTACTTTCTAGAAAAGAAACAAAGGAAAGTAAATCTACACAGCTCCATAGATAATTGAATCTCTTTTCATTGGGAATAATCAATCTTTCTGACTGGAATGAGGAGTATAATGTTATCATTTTGTAATAAGTAGTATAACCTGACAATGGTTAAATTTCTCATATATTTACTATTGTTAGTATTGATTGTAGTTGCGTTGATCATATTATGCTGGCTATATATATTTGTTAAAATACTATTTTGGTTTGTTGGGCGCCACACTTTAAAATGGAAGTGAAACAAGGAGAATGTAAAAGGATGATTATTTTTATGGTAGAGAAACAAACAAAAAATAGATCACAAAAATAAAAACTGTAATGTTAAATATAGTTTTGTTGATTGAAGGCAAAGTGCATCAATTATCGCGTAGCATTTATATAATGAATGTGTGTAAGTTAAGAAATGCAATTACAGTTATCATCTATATTTAACTTTCATACCAATATAATGTAAGAAAGGGTTCTGAAAATGCAACCAAAGAAAAACCAGTGATATCAAAATTGATCAGTGTTCAATACATATATACCTTCATCTCGTAAAGTAATATCAAATCTAAATGCATGAACTAGTCTTGGGTACAATTTATAGTCACTGCAGTGATAATAATATTAGTAATAATATAGGCCTTTAGAATACTGCAAAATAACAAAGAGATATTCTTTGAGTTTTTCGTTTTCTATTTAAAATTTTAGGGAAATCAAACAAAGAAATCAGTGGGTGAAAATAGTGTGTATATATATATCACATAGGCAAATCATAATATCACCACGACTGCAAGCGGAGAATAAAAAATAATGATAATACTTGGACAGACGATTACACTGTGATTAGTATTCAGGCGCTATTGTAAACTGTATCGTTTGTTTTGCATTAACATTTCATCCATTCGGCTATATATATATATATATATATATATATATATATATATATATATATTATATATATATATATATTTGAAAAGCAATACACGCTAATGAGAGTAGTATTCGTGGATAGGACCGTGGGAAGACTCAGGACAATGTGACTGAACGAGCCTGTTCTCTTGCTAGTAGGATTAATGGAATCAAAGTAATCACTGGGCGACTATTCTGCTGTATAAAGGGATGCTTGAAATATTTAAAGAAAAAAAAATTAATATATTGTTATCTTCAATGAATGAAATCTGTATTTTACTAAAATGATGCAAGAACATTCCTTAAGTTTTGCCTAAACTGTAATTTCAGAATACACCAGTCATAACTTGGGATAACAACAACACTTGCATGGTAGACGGAATAACCATGAATCTCAATATTGTGATAATGAAATCTCATATGCCTGTTGTCAGAACAACAAGTATTTTTTTATTATAGCTTGACTCCACTCAGTATTTGTGATACAAGTATGGAATTTTCAGCATGGATATCAGTAGCCCAAATTTAGCAGGCCGACCATTGAGATCAGAAGTGCGTCAGCCGGCAATCGAACCCCGGACCATGTGCATGGTCGGCGAGCGTCCTAACCGCTCTGCCACCGATTCACAGGATTTATATGATATGTTTCCGAAGTGATCGTAGAATTTTTTGTTGCGTCATTTAATTTCAAAAATTATTGTAATCTATTTCCAATTTTATCTTCACCTTTATTGATTTATTCAAAGTACCAGGAAAACTACTAAACTATATACCATTTTAATCAAGATAAGTAAATACATAATTTAAATCTCCACGTTAACCTATTGGCATTTGTTTACACACATGACACTAATTGAAATATTGGTACAAATAGCTGAAATCAAATCATAGCATCTATTTTCTAAAGGAAATACACTTATCTGTTTAGTGGTGAAAGTCTTCAAAGTCACTTGATAAATGCAAATACAAACACATACACACAAACACACACACATTAGCTTACTTCAATTAGTTCAGAGGCACTAGCACGTAGTTGAGCATCCACTTCCAAGCATCTGTCGAGAAAATTTAATAATTCCGGACTAAGATTATCTTTACGAAAGTTGGGTTTACCATTTGTTGCTATTAAATATAATGCCTAAACATTATATTTTAAAAAAATACAAAAAAATACAATAAGGACTTTCTGACAGAACGGATGATTTTGCAGAGAATTCATTAATTTCGAATGAGTTATACTTTCTGTTCAATTCATTACATTATTGCACAGGCTGTATTGTTCGCCATTGATAACTGTTCCATAAAAGATAAAAATATCAAAGTACTTTATATTATAAGTTGAATTGTAATCAGCGTTCACAGAATATTCTGTTTTAATTCTTGTGATATTTTGAGAAAAATTACTCTATATGTGTATGTGTGTGATCACAACAATTGTTGGGACCTACTCATTTTAGTTACTTCGAAAAGCTATTGAAATTAAACTATATAACTGCATGTAAACACCTATTGTTAATACACTTGCAGTTACTTGTCGCATTCCACAAACTTATGACGGACAGTATGGGAGTGTTTCTTTTCGATTCACAATTGTTATCAGTTAAAGGAATTTTCAATACCTCAGTTGCTTATTTCCTATTGTCACTTTTCCAAGTATTTTCTTTATATTAATAATTTCATAGGAATTTAACAGTTCATCCTTTTTAAATAGAATAACAGTAAGTACTACCATTTTTCCAAAGAAATTTTTCCGAAATATAAGCTAGGCTGAAATGCGGAGGTGTGTGCATACAAACTGTTTTGTTTTTCCTCTCCCTTAATTATAGTTGGAATGCTCTTAGGTGAAGTATAAAAATTTGGACCACTTAAGTTAACTATATCAGATTCTCTACTACAGATAAAATTCAATTTTGATAAATCACAGTATTGTACAGTAATATTAACTGATGACGTTTTGAGCACAAATTACTGCTCATAATCATATCAATAATTTGTGCTCGGACCGTCATCAGTTAATATTACTGTACAATATTGTGTGACTTATCAAAATAAAATCTTATCTTCAGTTGAGTTATACTCTACTACATTGCCCAAGTTTTATACTTATATATCACATTCTTGAAATAAGTTTGTACACTAATATACCAATCAATATGGCCCTAGAAGCGGTTAAAAGGGAACTAACTTCTGATCCCGAACTTAGTCACAAGACGTAGCTGTCCAGTGAGAAAATTATTTTAGGAATTCAGTTATGCCTCACATCTAATGTCTTTAAGTTCTACAGGCCAAAAAATATAAACAGATAGATGGTGTAGCTCCATATTAGTTTGTTTATTAGATGTATCACGCAGTGAAACAGTAGTATTTACTGGATGACTTTTCGAACGAAATTTATTGTTCATAATCATATCAATTATAATCACACGACTTCGAAACTTGAGTTTTATAGTTTTCTTTGTCCTCTCCTATTTGTCGTAAGGGTAGCAGAATTTTCCAGATGTCGACGTGGACAGGTGTTGAATTATTCCTATTACACGTATTTGCAGTTTATTCGATAAACAAAGCTTCTGTTATCAATCTCTCCCTCCACCCTGTGACATTAGATTTTAAAACTGTCATGTTATCCCATCCTATTGTATGGTTGTGTGTAATTGCATGTAGTGCTATAGCTGAACTATTCTCTAGATCTAATACATAGGTCAGAGTAGTAGAACAGGGGCAGTCAGACTAGCCGAGCATAAAAACCTAGCAAAATCTACATTAGTTGACCCGAATAAGATAAGAAATCTATTTAAGGTAACAGTTAGTAGATTACAAAAGGATATCTGTCAAACTAATAACTGAAAAACTATAATATTAGCAGACCGATTGTCTATTACTTTTTGCCTATAAAATAAACAACAAAATTTCTTCAGTGTTTAATTTATTAAATTTGACTGGTTAAATAATTAATAGTGTGATGATAATGTAATCCCCTGAAATGTACAATATGCATCAGAAAATTCAAACGGTTGGCATTGTTAATCTAAACTGTTTTATCAAAGTGTGCATACCACCAGTAATCGATCTTAAACTTGTCATCCTTCCCAATCCTTGATAAATTATTGATTGCTGCAACTTGGTACAGAACTGTTCACCTCTGTTACTAGTTATTTAGCTACGTAATTATTAAGAAATAATTATTTTCGCAGCAAGAATTACAATTATACATTGAAACTTTAGTAAGTGACGATATCTGTTTGCATGCATTTACAGTTAAACTCTTTATTTTACAAACTATTGTTTTCAAAGATTTAAAAATGAGTACGAACACCAATTTAGCAGTTTGCATTTTCCTTTATTAATTCTAATTGAACAGGAGCGAGTCACTCCACAGAATATCGAACTTGACTAGTCACGTGCTTGCGTAAGTTTACAACGAAACTGAGTAAGAACAATGACGGTAGACATTCCTGACAGACGACAGTAGTTATCACCAAATCAGTGGATAGCTCTTCATAATTACTTAAATAAAATACTTCTATAGAATTCACGTTGCAGTCAGATGTTACCGCAACACTTATCGATCGAATTCGTCAAAACAGATCAAGAAATGTTGTTAGTGTCAAATGTCAGTGAGCGTGTCTGAGTTGCGGAATCAGCTTGCTACCCTCGAATTTGACTTGGTCACTAGTTCTTCACAGTGCTATGAGACCCAGAATCCTAGATAACATTAGTGAAGCCAATCATCTAGTGACTATAGCAGGAAGATTTGTTGACCTAGAATTGTCAGTGACTTATACCATCCTGATGGGACTACGATGTTTGTAGAACGTGTACACTGTGGTAATATGAAAATTCATATTAATTTGATTATTGTATATATCTCAGATATAAGTGTGAAACTTGGGCACTGGGGTAGAGTTAAACTCCATTATGGATAAGATTTTATTTTGATAAATCACACAGTGTTATACAGTAATATTAACTGATGACGTTTCAAGCACAAACTATTACTCATAATCATATCAAGTATATATCTCAGTGAAATAGTATTATTTACTGGATTACATATGTCTGTTGATATGATTATTAAGTCATACCGTCAGGTACTGCTGTTTTCTATTGTTCCAAGTTATTCAGTTTCAGCTACAGTGAGAGAAATAATGTCTGTATCTAATATAAATTGTGAATAACTGCAGTGTAGCTGTAGGTCAGTTGAATGGCTATACAAAGCATACTATAGATTCCCCCATCAACTCTTCTGTGAAGTTACCAAAGTTCCAACGTATTCGGAGATTATCTCTCCTAATACGTCTCCCTTAAAACTCGTCCCCCTAATGAGCATAATTACTTTACAGGTGTCGCCTGGGGCATTCTCCATCTTTTTCAGTTTTGAATCCCACTACATCGAGCTTGAAATAATGTCAGGTTTCTTCAGGTCAATATTTGTTTATCACCTCCTTAAATACTCAACTCGTTTTTTCCTAGTAAACCAGGATATATTAGGACTTTACAGCTGCGTATCTTCTACAATTATTCAGTCTCAGATCTATATGTGCATCAACTAATTCATGCTCGAACTCCACACAAGCGTTGTAGAAGGGCTGGTAATCTTCTTCCAATAAACCGTTGAAAGTTTGAGGCTAAATGTTCTATTTATATTTATCGTTCGCTCAAGTAGGACACTTTACTGTTACTATATTCCGTTATCCCAGAAGAATGAACTCGACTTTGGTCGACAGTGAGAAAACTTTTATCTAGTGGTAACTACTTTTATTCCATTATGGGTAAATTTTGTTTTGATAAAGTCTCACAGTGTTATATAGTAATGTTTACTGATGACGTTTCGAGCACAATTTATTGCTCATAATTATATCAAGGTCGATGATTTGTGAATCTTGCTTCAGTGTGACAAAGTCGTGTGAGTTTGTTGATAAGCTTCCTGGTAGGAAGACCATATGTATCATTGATAAAAGAATAAAACTTGTGCACTGTGGTAGAGTGTAATTCCATTATGGGTAAATTTTGTTTTGATAAAGTTTCACAGTGTTATACAGTAATGTTTACTGATGACGTTTCGAGCACAATTTATTGCTCGTAATCATATCATTGATATGAATGAGCAAAAATAATGAACTATATATATATGAGTACAAATCATAAATGTGTGAACAAAACAATTCCAACAGTGGTGTGAACACAGGCAGTAATTTTGCTCGAAATATTACCAATAACAAAACTTATCATTGCGTGTAAACTATTGAAATATAATTATACTTTATTAGATCTTATCCACAATGCTCAAACGTTTTACTCATATTAAGTAAAGAATTAGTTTCATTTATTCGATTAACTATAAAAGCATTTACGTTAGTGACACTTCTATTGTAAAAGCATAGCGACTTAACTTCATGATGTAGTACCTGCGTTTTTCTTTCAACTAAATATGCTTATGACCACCTTTTTAACATTAGAGCTTTTTTTCTAAATTAACCCCAGGTAGTGCAAAATAAAGTCCCAAACTTAATGACTGATAACCCAATGGTATTCGACAGTAGATGTTAGCCATTGCAATTTTGACGAAAAGGTTTGCTTAGAAATCCGTTTTACTTGGTCAGATGAGGCTTAGTGGTATAATGCCTGCGCATGACGCCTACAGAAGTCAGTTTCCTAGCACATCTTAGCCTACTGATAACAGTCATCAAATAAGATATAATCGTCAGACTGTTGACTTGTTATTTATGCTTGTGAGATTTGGAACACTGAATTAGTAGTTACATTTGCGCCTAATAAGATTGTTTGTTATATGCTTCAGTGTTCAGTGATGGGGTTAAATTCAATTTTTTTAAAGGAAGTAGGTAAACTGGATAGATTCATCAAATATCTTTTTCTTATGTTTTGAAATTATAGAATAATCTGTCTAGTTTACATTGTACTAACCGTTCACCTAATGTATTTTGATAAATAAGAATAGTAATTAAATTTAACTGATTACAAAAAATATGGGTTAAATATCATAAATTAGAAGAAGTATAGGAATACTTACTTTTAAAGGATTTTCACTTAAGTATGGAGGTTCACCTTCTAACATTTCCAAAGTCATTATACCTAATGACCAGATATCAATCTTCTGACCATACTGTTTTCTACTGACAACTTCAGGAGCCATCCAGTAAGGTGTACCAACCATTGTAGTTCTTTTAAAATCATTATTTTTAGCGGATAATTGTGCACAAAAGCCAAAATCTGTTAGTTTTACTGAACCATCTAAACCAAGAAGGATATTATCTGACTTTATATCACGATGTATAACATGCTTGCTGTGTAGAAATTCTAATGCTTGTAAGGTCTATAACAAGAAAAATATAACATTTAAAAGTAGAGACATTAAAAAAATAGCCAAAACGATGTAGTAAGCATCATTGCATTATTAGATTCCAGACAAATCAGTAATGGAAAACAGTATACCATTGGATTCTGATCTAGCGCTGGTTTCACAAAATACAGCATAATTTTACATCTGACAGGTCCAATCTGCACAGTAAACATACTCAAACTTCTACTCGTAGTGTAGCGAAGACTGCATTTTTGGGTGACCTTGTCATATATAGAAACTAAATAAAAAAAACCTTTCTCTAGTAGTAAGTCAGTCCATGAATTATCGAAAATGAAACGAAATTGTAAGTGATCAGACTATATATAGGGGGTACGCGAATTCAGGATATTACTGGCCTAATCTGATAGGCGAAAATATTAACCCTAGACTAATCCAACGACCATTTATCAAATTGTGACAAACTAAGTACGTGGTTCATTAGGATGAATCCCGAAGCCTGAATATTACTGTTATAGCCAGGCGCAGTCTCTAAAGGCCATAGGTGAACACTACTGAAGTACCTTAAGTTAGAAAAAATGGTTTTTCACTGATAGTTAGTTTTCGGTGATTGTCTATCTGACGTAGGCTTGTGATGGAAAACTATTCCAAAAAAATTTATATATCCATGCATATATATGCATGCTTTGCTGTTATTGATTTTCAGATAACCTGTTGATTTTGAAATTATACACATATTACGCTAGAAAGTTATTCAAAGCACACAGACGGCAATTATATATATATATATATATATATATATATATATAACAATTATATATATATATATATATATAATTGTTACACAGTAAGTACACTTTCAAACAAAGAATATTTATTCATTTTATGAATAATTCTCATTAATAAATTGTTCCTTGTCTTTATTTTATTCGACATGAAACAATTTATTTTCGCTCATATAAGTGTGCAATTAAGATGTGGAATATCTATACATAAAGAGAGAGAGAGCTGATGCAACCTAAATGAATCATATATTTCTAACTAGCAAAAAGTCATTTAAGTACAATGTTTCTGTTTTCTGTTCTACATTCATATGCAAACACAAATCGACTAATTTGTTTTCGAAACCTACAAAATAATAAACTTACTAAATCTAGTAATAGCTCACTTAAAAACGTTAAACTAGATGAAAAAATTTCTGTCACATAGATAGTAATTAGTCATTTACAAATTTATAATTAGAACAAACTTTTTGGTGGTAAAGAATTTTAGTAGATGTCTCATAAAAAGGAAACATTATTATTGCAGTTGTTTTGTTAGTGTTACCCAATTCAGTCACAAATGAGTTTGCTTCGGAGATAAAAAAAATTAAAATTAGATTCACTAACTAAACCTCTTGTTATTTCACCTTTCTACCGTTTACATCAACTTTCTGTCAAACTACGATATATATTTGCCGTTGAGAAATGCTAATTAGCCTGAAATCAAGTAATAACTGGTGTTCTGTGTACAAGAAATGGCTCTTGTAGATAACACTTCGGCCTTTAAAACAATCGGTGCAGCATCTGAGTCTCAGTAGGAATTCTTTCCCTCAGAGAGGAGGCAGGTGCATCTAGTTGACGAGTCTCAAATAGAGCGAAATCTGCATCCTTGATTTCACTTTTAATTACTTTCAAATAAAATAATACTCCATAGAAATTTACCAGCCTTATGTTGCACTAATTTAATCTTTTCTTCAAACCTCCAACATTTAGTAGTGGATGTCATCGGTATATAATCACGTGACCGATATGTGGAAATCTGTCAGCTGAATTAATAGTCATGCACTGAGTCAAACATTCACACTTGCAGGGACTATCCTTTGAATTGTGAAACTACAAAACCCTCACGACGGAAGACGATAAACTTCTATATGAAATACAGTATACTTCAAGGTTAACAAACAGCTTAATTATAGTCTAGCAGTTGATTGTACGGTTACGTTATAAAGAAAGATCTGAAGAAACTGCTCAACCCTAAAAGGTCAATTTTGTAATTAAAAACTAGAGCAACTGAAATAAAAGTCATTTTCAGACAATCAAAAAGTATCAAACAATTCCTTCTATTCTGATCACTGGTCGATATCAGTTAGAGAACCGTTGAAAAACAGGGAATATTGGACAGTTGTTTCACTCTAGTTCGGGACTCATCGCCCCAACGCACCGATTTGGGTTTGAACCCAGGACCTTCCAATTACAAGGCAATGGGTGCGTAGCGGAGATGAGTGAGACAGTGGTTCAATACTCCCTGTATTTCGATGATTCTTTAACTGATACCAACCCATGGTCAAACTTGAAACGAATCAAATTCCTGCAAACTAGCTCTTGAAAATTCTCTCTATTCATAAACTTAAACAAAGCACAAATAAGGGATTGGACAAAAAAATGTTCCATTTTGCTGATTTTTTTCAGACACTAAACTTCAAATTTCATTCATAAAATATAAAAGAATACACACACACTTTGAATAATTAAATAAAAGATTATACACTTGAAAATATATGGGTCACTGAATTAAAAACATAAATTTTCTAAACAGTCCATCATTTTACTTCTTCACATTTTGAAAAATCAAACGGAAAAGCAGAGAAACCAAAATGAAATAAGAACATTATGGTTGATTATGCGCCACGGAGATATATGACTAATAAATAAAAGTCAGTTAGGATTTTCATAGTGTGAAATGTAACGAAAAAAGAATGCATCTGTGACATTGGAAACAACTTTTTTGTTTTGATTACAGCTTGATTCCACACAGTATTTCTGGTAGAGGTATGGAATTTTCAGCATGCGATGTCGGTAGCCCGAATTCTGCAGGCCAACCATTGATATCAGGTGTGCGTCGGCAGGGGATCGAACCTCGGACCATGTGTATGGTCGGCGAGAGCCCTAACCACTGTGCCACCGACCACTGTTCAAAACGTCTGCATTCATTAATTTTCAGAATCCAAACGGCTCAGTTAAGCACATGATGTCAGCCTTGGTCAGATATTATTATCATTCCCTAGGGTTCCGAGTGGAACATAGGGCTTCAACAACACATCTCCGCTTTCTTCTATTTTCCACTGTCCTCATAAGCTGGGTCCACGACTGACTGTAAACTCTCATCTCCTCCTTGCACGATCTCCTCAATATTACCCTTGCACCGACGACCCACTCGTCACTTCCCATTTAGATTTCACTCGAGAACCTAGAACGCGATGCCATTCGACAGTTTGCTCAATGTATGCCTGATCCATCTCCATTTTCTCCTACATATTTGTTGAGCGATCGGCTCTTGGTTGGTTTGTTCACCTTGAGGGACTCTTGTTGCCAATTCTTTCTGACCCAACGGCGGGCTAACTGATCTTCAATATGGAGCCAGTGAAGCGGGCAGCTGTTGATAAAAGTCTGTAACTTGTTAGAGATGTATTTCGTTAGACGCACTGCGAGTTTCTAACCCGTACAGAAGAACTGCCTCACTTCACGTTTGTGTTGAAAATCCGAATCTTGTACTTTATACTGGCTGAGTGCAGAAGATCTCCAGACTGGTTTCAGGTTGATGAAGGCGTATCTTGCCTTCTCGATTCTGTTTGCCTTTGACATCATCCGTTCCGACTGCCTATAGTTGAAACGATGCTTTCTGGATAAGTGAAGGAAGTTATCTCTTTCAAATCTCTCCCGTTGATGGTGATTGGTACCGGTTGTTGTTGCTGTTGGTTGATTATCTTCATCAACTTTGTCTTCTCTGTGTTCACTTTGAGTTCTCTCTTCGCTGCCAGCCTCTTCAGCCAGATTGTTGGTTTTTGACTGCCCATAAGTCTTTAAGTTGGTTAGGCATTAGACATAAATCATCCATGCGAGAAATCCACATCATCTAGAGTCTTCTTATTGGTTAGTCCAACGTATTCCTGTCTTCTTACTCCCCATACACCGTTTGAAGCATAATCCAGTCCATCGCAATTAAGAATATACTCCTTTTTGATTGGACACTAGTAACTAGCGTAAAGTGTCTAGTCCTTTCTTTTGGTGTAGACTGAATTCTATCAGTCAGGTATTTGCTGATGAGTGCCAACTAGCACGAAACCTAGGTCCAAGGCTTCCTGACGATTGCCTCCAACTATCTAATATCACCAATATACTCCTTTCTCCAATTCGAACGCCTCACTCAGTTTTCTTTTGTGAATTACCTGACACGTGGCACTGTCTTATAGGAAGCTGTTGAATGAGGTTTATAAAGATTTAAGCACTGCAAACCGTAGTGCTGGAGCAGTTTCCGAATTACTTTTCAGTTTACGCTGTCGAAGGCCTTTTCAAAGTCAACGAAGTTGACTGCCGTTCTATGCTTTGTTCGATGACCATGTGTAAAGTTATAATCTCACCATCACATGATTTTCCTTTACTGGATCCAGCTTGTTCTGGGTTGGTGGAGTTGTGCATTCAGTGCACCTTTTATTCTCCCCAGGATAACGCGACTCACTATCTTACCTGGTGTGAACAAGAGGATAATTCCACACCCGTTCTTACAGAGTGAGGCCTGAGTCGCCCTTCTTTGGTAGCTTGACAAGGTAGCTAGCCTTTCTTCCAATCGATAAGCAACTTTCATTCCTTCCAACTCTTTTCAGCTAATGGCGTGAGTATGTCTGCCGCAGTCTCTGGGTCCGTTTTCAGTGCTTCAGGAGGAATTCCGTCTTGTCCTACTGCTTTCCCGACTGGACTTCACCAGCCTGATCGCATTCAAGATTTCTGCTTTCGTTGGAGGATTGTTGTCCACTGGCATTTCCGTGTGTGCTGTTGGTGGCATTTCTGGGCAAGTTGCCGGTGGTAGTCGATTTAGGATTCCTTTGAAGAAATCAGCCCACTGTTTTATTTATTTCTCCTCCTTGGTAGTCAGGTTCTCTTGACCGTGAATTGTTGGTTTCATCTGTGTTAATCTTTTCCCAATTAAAGATCTGGTTATCTGATATAGTTGTCTGAGGTTTCCCTCACCTGCGCCCTATCTGTTCTGCTTTAGTTGCTAGTGTTTCATAAAACTGTCTTTTGTCTTTCTTAACACTCTTCTTCACTTCTTTATTCAGTGCAGTGTACACTGAACTTAGCTTCACCTTCTGTTGTTCACCTTTGCATTGGTCGATCTTCTGTCTCACCATTTTGCTCTGTTCTATTAGCTTACAGGTGTCCGTTGAGAGCTATTCTTTGTTTTACGTCTTCTCTCTTCTTAAAACGGTTGTGTATGTTTCCTTGAGCATCAGCTTCAGAGAGTTTCAATGTTCTTCCACGTAGGTTTCCTCAGTGATGTCACGTAGTGTCTCCGATTTTGCTCTGATCTGATCTGTAGTGAAGGTGTCCTTTGTAGTTTTGCCCTTCAGTTTCTGTATGTTCAATTTCAATCGTGGCCTGTCTCACCAAGAAGCTAGATGCATAAATACTCCATAGTTGTTGTTTTCTTTTTTACTTCTGTCTCAGACATAAATGTGTACCAAAAATGTAATAACCAGACAACAAAGGTGTTCCAAAGGGACTGGAAATCTACCAAATAACTCCTCTACTGCAAATTTACTGCTAAGGCATTCGCGTGTGTCTATCGCTGACGTCGTTTGGAGGCCATCTGATGATCCCATGTCATAAAATATGCTTGAAGAAAGGATATGATGGCTACTTGAAAAAGTCGTAACAGACGACCTTTTTTATTCCGGTACATCAGTATGGAACTGCATAGATATTTATAATATACATTTTCGGCTGGCTCAATGTCTCCAACTAAGTATTAAAATAATTTGTTAAGACGACTTTGTACTAGAGTCTGTTTCTGGCAGTGATCCGGTCACCTTTTGATAAAATGTATTCTTTACTTAGTAGCACTGAGAAAATTATGAAAAGCTTCCAACGAGTGCAACGACACTTTCATATTCTTACAGTCTACTTCAGTCGAACAACAAACAAGAACTGTGTAACAGGATCCATTTAAGCAGTGGATTTTCCGCTCTTGTGACCAACGATATGTCTACACGAGAAAGTTCACCAGAACTGCCTAAAGTATCTTTTGACATCCGTAAAGTGAATTTGAGTAAATTCGTCACGTTGGATAGATAGAAAGACAAAAGAATGATAACACTTAGGTGTTGTTTACAACGATAACCTAAAATGTCAGTTTTTTTCAGTAGGACCTATTTTCCGACTTGGATTAAGGTCAGGACACTGCTGGTAACGTGGGATTGAAAGACTAGGAAAGGCGTTTCGCTGGGTTAGGTCACTAATCATGGTCAACAAAGTCAACTTAAAATGAGGATTTACCAATGGAATATTATTAGAGGTTTTAGGAATATGAAGAAAGTGGGTGATATACAAGAGAACTATGTGTGGCAGTGGAAATGTGTGAGAAGTTACCACTTCTCAGCTACCCATACTTTGAAAGTTGATATGATAGAGTGGAATTGTTCATTTTATGTAACAGAATAGCCAGGGTAATAACTGCTTAGAGCTTCGTTAGTGATAATAGTTACACCGACAGCTTTGGAGTGACGTAGAGTTGGTTCGGATGTATAATTTTTAAGGCTTACTTTTTTTACCCCTACTCCGTAGGGCTTGGAGGAAGTTTAGTCGGGTTGCTGGTTATCTGGAAAACAAAACCCTCATCAGTGTTACAACGACGTCAGTTGACGGTATACTTTCGTACAGCGAATCTATCATTGTGTAATTAACTCACATTATGTTCATAAAAACTGAACACTGGGAGTGACGAATAATTTACAGTCGTTAATCAAATGCAATCATTCACGTACTTTGAGTGTACACAGGTAACTTTTATTTATTTATTATTCACTTAGAAATAAAATTCGAGTACTTTCGGTTATTCTGTAAATAATCATTTTGCAGCTAAACACAGTCAGCCTAATAACTGATACCTAGGAAACTGAAGTTAGTTAGTATCTAGTAATTATTACTAGTTAAAACAACTATTCGAAAGGTATTGCACGTTATAGATAGAGGTGTATGCAAAAGTACTGACTTACCTCACGACAAACTGTAGCAATTTGTGATTCATTCATACACGTTTCTGTAATGACGTCTGTCAGTGAACCACCATCTAAATATTCCATTACAACCCACAGCTCATCTCCTAACTGAATATACGTGAAAATAAAAACTGAGTACATTAAAGATAGAAATAAAAACCAAATCGGAAATTAAATACCTAGGCGTCATTCTATCTGCTGATCTCTCCTGGTCGTCTCATATCTTAGCGATTTCTAAGAAAATATTCCGTCTTACCTTCTACATCAAGAAGTTAAAACATTCTGGTATAACCCAACCCTTACTCCTACAATTCGTTAATTCTCGCATTCTACCTATTATTCTCTGTTGTTCCCCCTCAGTTTTTCACGGGCTACTGAAGAAAGACTATGACATATTACGCAGGATGTTAAAGGTTGTCAGCAGGGTAAGCAACGTGCCACTTAACCACCTTGTTAATATTCTGGTCGACAGGCACATGGACTCATGTGAAAAATGGGCTAAGTCCATTTTATCTAACTCACACCACCCTCTTCACTCACAACTCTCCCCTTGCATCTCATCAGGTAAAACCAGAAGCCAATATAGAAAACTATATGCTCGCACCAGCAAGTACAAAAACTCAACCATACCCTACTTAGCTCGTGTTCTGTGTGATAAAGAAAGCATTAGGCGTGACACCTATAATTCATTAAATAGTCAGTATTGCAACAGGATCTCGTCTTTCCAACTCATATCTTTTATAGGTACAACATTTTCTTTCTTTCTTTTCCTTTTTTCTCTCTCTTTTTTTCCCGCTATGTGCTGCTTTGTTTCTTTCTCTCGCTTACGCCATATATATATATACATATATATATATTTATATATATATAAAGGAAGTATGCATCACTGCACAAAACTGTTGAGTCACTTAGGAATACTAATCAGAGTGAACGGAATTATAGACTGCAGTCTACGAAACTTAACTCCCTGAAAGAAATAAGAAGTGGTTTAATTGAATTTTAGATTTTTCCCGTCGATTGATTGGACCGAAGTGCTCGGTCTCAGGTTGACATGTCGGCTTCTTGAGCAGATGCTTCGACGATGTCTGGGCATTTAATTAGTATTTAATTGGTGGATTCCACTGCTAGTCACCATCCACCAATTAAATACTAAATAAGAAGTGGATTGGAACACTTTCACATAAACAATAGGTAGAGGTCATAAACTGTCAAACCTAGGATTATACTTCAACATTTAAGCTAAAAAGATATTTAGAACCGATAATTATTTATCTGTGTAAACATTAAGGTTGCTGTTAACTACATTGAAATGTTTGTCGTTATGTTTACATCAAACTGATTGCAGCTCAATAACGGATAAAAATTATGTTATTGTATGCAGACATTTTTTAACATTTCATATTTGAGGCGCGCTAGATGCATGTTACGTTTATGAATGAAATTTTCCTGGGATTTTATACGATAGTTCCTGCTTTCTTCTAAATATGTTCAGATATAAACTGGTCACAGATAGCAAACTTTGCAAAATAGGTTAGCCTTTATTTAATTGATACGCTATCAATCATAATCACCATTCCAACAGGCGAATCGTTTAACTATATTGGCAAAGTAGTAAACAAGTTACAATTAGCTATAATTTTCAAGGGATAAAAAAATGGGCTTCAAATCGCACATTTATGTACTGAATGGAAAAAAACAGTGTTTTCTACAGTCGTTATAGAACTGACGATCAGGCTATAAAAACAGAAGCTAATTCGGAGAAAATGTATCATCATTAACTTGAGCTGTAATCTATCATCTGTTAGAATGATTTATGAAACTCCAGATCATACTGACATTTCGGAAATCCAATTTAGATTTCCTATAATCAAAATCTCCATTTAGTTTTGACTTTTAATCTGGTGGTGTGCTGCACACCCCAGGCTGACAAGTTAGTCTCAGACTTGTAGATTCAGTTATTTATCGTAACTAAGGCATTTGACCAGCTACAACATGCACACTTATCTGAATCAGAACGAAGTGAAACATTTACTATCTTCTCTGTTTGCATAAAGGAAACACAACTTTCATAAGATTTGTGAAAGCATGGTAAAACATTTATTATTCGTTCCAGCATTTATAGTATTTGAAATACTAAATAATCCTGTTCTAAAAGTTGCTTAAGTTTATGTATGAGTTTAATCTCTTTCATAAAGTCGTAAAGTGTCACTATCATAATTGTATAATCACTATTACTCATATATTTAACACCCTTCACTTCATTTAGTTTTGAGGTTATTACGAGGTGGTGCATAAAGTAGAGTGGTTAGATTGTTGAGTAGATAACTTATTACTCTTTCTTTTTTATTTTATGAAGTTTTTCAGAAAATGAATCTACTTGTTCAGTATAGTTGCTAGACTTTCACTTTTCACAACAGTTTCTACATCATTTATTTGACACATAGACAGTGATAAATAGACGCAGACAGCGTATAGTCAAAATATGACCACAATCTTAAGTATATTCAGTAAGCGTTTGTTGAAAAACACTAGATAACACTGATCAAATTTTCAACTCATAGAATTTTACGGATGAGAACAGTGATATTTTTGAATGACGTATGACTTTCAGAAAATGAAAAACTTCGAAATTATGAAAAGAACATAATTTTAAAAAAGCATTTCCAAACTTACCAAGTAACTATCCAAATAATTTACAACATTCGGATTTCGATAAGTTCGCATAACTAAAATTTCATTGAGAATTAATTCTTTTTTTGGTTGTTGTCGCAAACTCATTTGTTTAATGGCTACACGACAACCTGATTCAAGTTCACGACCAATATAAACAACACCAGATGCTCTAATTATAAAATGGAATACAAAAACGATGACCATGAGTGCCTTATTATTGGAGGAAATCCGTAAGACAGTTGGATTACTTGAAAATATTATGGAGAAAACAAGTGACATGAAGTGGATTTACACTGAAATTATGTCTATTTTCTATTATAGTTTCAAATAAGAATAGACTTTGCATCTTACGCGCAACTAGTCAACTGGAGTTATCGGCATTTTAGTGGACAAAAGTGCGCCAGTTAAGAGCCGAACTCAGACTCCATTACTTTTGGGTACCATCGCGTTTTCCACTAGGTTATTCAACAGCGTTATTCAGAGTTTGCTCAACATTTATCATTTATTGCAAAACAATGCAAGCATACAAACGCAAAGAAGGAAAATAATCCTTTTTATTCGTTGACAACATTTCGGATAATATATGTACAATTATCTGAACCCACAGCTGTTCACTGAAATTTAAGAATTCTCAAGGACTTGTATTCATCGGCAGTGGTGTAAGCAGTTAATATTAACACAGTTACACAACTTTTCTTTGTCTTATGAAAACTAACAGGTATAAAACAATAGCCAGTAAGTATGTGATCACTAGGAAGAAATTTCACGAAAATATTCTTCTTTTTATCTACGTTTTCGTCAAACGGCAGAGAATATGTGTAAAATTTGGGCACTGTGGTAGTAAGTAATCCCACATTAGTTTGTTTATTAGATGTATCACATAGTGAAGCAGTATTATTTACTGGATGACGTGTCGAATAAATTTATTGTTTATAATCATATCAATTATAATCACACGACTTCGAAACTTGAGTTTTATAGTCTTTTTTCTTCTTTTATCCTATCCAGTAAATAATACTGTTTCATTGTGTGATACATCTAATAAACAAACTTATATGAAACGGTAGAGAAATTAGCTTAGGCAAATGCTCCCAGTCTATTCTAATAAACACCCATATGTATCAGATTTCAGTTTTTCAAAACAGTGAATTGGCTGAATCGCTCCAAATGGAACTGAAGAAAATAATCGTTAGAATATTCTCTGATGCAACACCCTTTCGAGTTTGTTACTTATTATGTGGTATTTAATGACTGGCCGTTTTTATGCCTAGCTTCTATGGAGACAGTTATGTAGGAAAAATAATCCACAAAGTCTACCATCGCTTTTTCAAGTACTGTTAAATTAAGTCCGTAAAAGGAAATATTTAAATATTATCCAAGTGATTAGTTTATCGGATAAATAAAACGGTGCAAATTTATGAGTTACTTACTTATTTACAGTAAACTGTGCCACTATGAAGCGGTAAATTTTTTACTAAAAATTCTAGCAAAAATAATATGAACCAGACATTTCCGAGGAAATTTCTTTTATAAAGGCTGTTTCATCAGTTCACGACGAACCTAAGCTATGGCTTTCACTACCTTTCTAACAAAATGTAAGCATTACCGCTTTTTTCACCATGAAAGTTAAATTAAGTTTTTCAATTCACATTCCACTGGTTGTTTTGAATTTCACTAAGAATTCAATTATTATTATCAGCCGTTTACTCTACACTTTTTGTGGATCAATTTTATAAAGATTCATGAAAGGTGTCAAAGCTAACAAAAGTACTGTTAATATCAACTCTCTAACTCATACCCAGCTGAAATTCTGCTAGCTATAATATTAAAAATGAAAGATTTTTAAAGAAAAATGAAAGTGCTGTTGCAACTCTGTGAACAAGCGATACAAGAATGATATTCACTGGCTGAATAATAGTGTATTATCTGTAAATGCTAAAGGACTGTCGCATCAAACTTCAATTATAAACCAATATTCCTTGACATCTGAAATTAAACTTTGCTTTGTAGAATGCAATCAAGAAATTTCAAACCCTCAATAAAATTTCTATGTCAAAAGAACTATTCACCGTCACAAACAATCAAGGAATGCTGAATCACTTACCCATGACCGATACGCCCAAGAGTTTCGTACTTTTCTGATGGTTTTCCTTGACTAACAATCGTTCTTAACCGGGCAATAATTTGTTCGTCGCGCATACGCATTTTGTTACGACAACGTGGAGAATGTCGAGAAACCAAACACACCTGAGCGTTATGACTTTGTGAGCCGTTTCCACTATCTGTAAAGCATTCCGCGAAAGGGCTTTTTGAAGTATTAGGATTTTCACTGATGGCCAAAAGTTTGGAAGAATTTTTTATACTCTCTACTGATTGCCTACCAGAATGAGCTGCAGACTAGAAAAATCAGAATTATACAAGATGTGGACTAGTTAAAACAATGCAAACACTATAGGAAAAGCTTAAAATGAAGGTCTAGATGTCTCTTTTCGTTGAAACCATTAAAAATAGATAGACTAATACATTCCACTGACAATAAACAACTTTTGTACACTGACCGAAAAGTAGAAACCTGAGTTACTTAGAAAGAGTGTATTAAGCCGAATTACATCATTATATCAGTAATAAACATTAAAAACTGTAATAAAGCCAGACTAGTGTTCAATATAAAGGTGTAAATATCGATTAGATAAGAGCGATTAAACCGGACAGTCATTTGAAAAACAACAAATAACAGGATGTCCACTAATTTTTGTTACGTGATGTATTCATCGACTGTGGGGATAAACAAAATAAGACAATATATATTTTAGAAACTCACTTTGATGTGCTGTTTATTCACAAAAGCTTTAATCAAAAGATGTATATATACAGTATTATTCGATTTCATGAAGGTTCAGCAGTCTATCATTCATTCTCAGTGTTTGTGAATACATTCTAAAATTTGGAAAAATCTTAAAATACTTGAGATACAAGGTATTTTACTACAAAAAGGTCAGTAGGTTATAGAAATAACAAAATAGCGGCTAATAGTAGTCAGTAGCTAAAAGCCATTGGCTGTTATGTCACAGACATTGAGTCCAAAATATGACAGGTTGAGGAAAGTGGTAGTTAATCTTCAAAAAAATGTTTGTAACAAAAGTACTGCTAGTGGTACTTCTCAGTTGCAGAGAAGTTATAATACAGACATTAATTCAATGTAACCGTTGTTAAATTTACTCTAAAGGCGTCTTTGTAACAGGAGAAGATAAGAGACTTGGTGACGGAGCTTTATTAGTGAAAAATTCATCACCTTGATGTGATTATGAGCAATAAATTGTTCTCGAAACGTCTTCAGTAAATATTACTGTATAATACTGTGAGACTTTATCCAAATAAATTTTACTCATAATGGAATTATACTCTACCACAGTGCACAATTTCTATCCTTATATCAAATATTCATCTCATTGTTTAAAGATTTTTATCCACGTTAGGGTTAGGCTATATAAGAGGAGAATAAATTGTTCTGACTAGTTGGCGATTGGTCCAATGTTAAAAAAATTGCCCAGTGATGTTATTTCATTTCCACGACGTAAACTAAATCCAGGTTCGAGAAACAGACACTCCTACCTCTGCAGCCATCGACTTAAAATGTTGATTTCAATTCTGGCCGTTTCCTACTAGTCTGCATCATGCAACATTTTAAAGCGCAAACAGTTATGTTGAACTTTAGAATTAGGATAAGGCATAAACATAATGCGGAAGTCACTTATTACCTGATCACTATAAATCGCGTATTGTTTTGAAAAATAATGGTAGTATATGTCATTAGGTAAAGAGTTGAACAACTAAGCATTGCCTAAATGTTTCCATTCAGATAGACATTATTTTGTTATTTCTTTAAAAAACCTTGGTCTGAAACATAGTGAAATGAGAGGAATAGATAAGAGAATGGACAGAGTAAAATACAGACAGCTATGAGTCTTATGTCCTGTCTTTTAATTAAGGAGTCTGTTACTCCATTCATTTACTCACATACACACAAAAGTTAAGGTGATAGGGCTTTCAGTCGATAATGAAAATACTGTTGATCATTCTTCTGCATCCTAATGTTTCATCAACACCATTCATAATTTTACATCAATTTAAATCGCTGTTATCTTCACCTTTGATTGCAAATTCGAGGAATAACATTTTATTTTCGAAAATAATTTACATGACTAAGCATTTCAATCTGTATTTTGAAATGTGCTTAAATTTATTTTTGATTTAAGATGCCTGTTAGAAATTTCAAAAACTGGTTATTGAACAAAGAATATTCTTTTGCATAACTTCTTCTTCAGGCTCTAGAATTATGTGTGTATAATAATTATAAAACTATTGTTATTGACAACATTGTGTTTTTCTAAATAATATGAAGTCACTGACATCAAAATTCCATGAGGCATATGCGAATAAAGTGTTAATAGATGATAGTTCGAAACATGTGCATATGATAATATGCTTTGAACCATCATCTATCAACAATCTATTGGCGTATAACTCTTGGAATTTTGGTGTCGTTAGTTCGATTTTACGATGAAAGACAATGTTGTGAATAACAATAATTCTTTAATTATAATGGATGCATAACTATAGAGCTTGGTGAAAAAGGTATGTAGAAGAATATTCTCTGTTCCAGTAATCAGTATTCCAAATTTATTATATTTTACAAAATCTACCGAAAATATTTCTTTATTTTCATGTGTGGGAAATAAAGTGTAGTAATTTGAACTACTGCACATTTTCGCAAATTTCTACGTTGGAAATTTAGTTCACTCTAGCAGTAAACGAAAACCGTTCATTTTCTTGATAATTTTCAAACACGACAAGCTTATTTTAAAGGATTCCTACAGTTAAAAAAGAAAGTAGCTAATATGAAAATTTCGTCGACTTCAAAGACCATGATATCATTCAAAACAAAAACGAATTTCATGTAAATTAGAGGTAATTATTGCTGCTATTTAGGTGAAAGGTTTAAGATAAACTGTTTGAATACAGATTAGTATTCATAGAAAACTGAAATCACTTGGAAACCATGGGTTTTTAAGTTATTTTGGAGTTATTTGAGTCACTGTCACAAACAAACTCACAAGACTGCAAGAGACTTTGAACGCAAAACCATCAGGTTGACAGGAAACATTTACGTCACAATACTTCACAGTACTGTTATCTTTTGTGTATGGGCATGCAGCTTGAAAATGTTGTGAAGTCGTTAAGTAGGACGGTATACTAAACTAGCTACTGTTGATTTCAAATATTTACTCCGTTTTGCTGGTTTGCCATGTGAACCACGCTTGAATTGGTAATGGTTTTATAAATTTCTTAAATAACGATCATAGAACTCTGATCAGTAATTAACTGTGCGTCGGTGGCACAGTGGTTAGGACTCTCGCCGACCATGCACATGGTCCGGGGTTCGATCCCCTGCCGACGCGCACCCAATATCTATGGTCGGCCTGCAAAATTTGGGCTGCCGATATTCATGCTGAAAATTCCATACTTGTACTGAAAATGCGGTGTGGCATCAAGCTGTAATCAAAATTAAAAAAATAAAATAAAAATTAAGGCAGCTGAAGTGAACTCTATGGGACGCTATCCTACCCTACAATAATAATAAATTATATAAGTTAGTAATAAACAAATACACCTGAGGATTGATAAAAATTGAATATAAGAAAACCGTATTAAACAAGAAGAAGAAATAAAGCTTTAGGTGAAAAATAAAAGTAGCACCTGAAAATATTTAGATTAAACAATCACCAGTGAAGTGATATACAAGTTTTGATTTTGACTACCGTTATTCTCCGTTCACAAAGAAAACTTTGAACGTTTTGATAAAGAAAAGAAATTATACTTCATTTCGTTTCATCTTCATCGATTTCGAGGCATGAAATCAGAAATTTAGACTACAAGTGCAAAAATTAACCAATCATTGTTTTGTGTATAAATGAATTCACATAAAATATATTTTTCATTAAAAAAAGACGATGTTATATTGTTTATTCTTTCAACTGAGCAAACCAGTTAAGCAACAAATTCTTATCAAGAGCTGTTATCAGGATAGTGTACATTGATGAAAAGCTATGATCTATCAAACAACAACTAAATTTTGTCCCTTGACTTCCATGCTCAACAACTAAGTACAGTAGGTGATGAGACCTGCTCTTAAATATTATCTGTATCAGTTGAGCAGAATAACTTTCATACAAATTTTGGCGAAACATCTGAAAAAAGCGTACACTAAACTGAAAACAGTAAAGCGGAATAGCATTGGTTTTTGGCAACTTAATTTTCTTCTTTAAATAGACACCTTTCTCATACATACTTATACGGCACTGAACAAAATGAAAAAATTTTGAAAACTAATTTAATTCCATCAAGGCTTGGTACGCATCAAATAAATAAGTATTAAAAATCTATTGTTTTTCAGTACTAGTACATATGAATGTTTTAGTGTTAAGAATTAAAATAAGTTTAAAAGCTGTCCTTTATAAGTCTTGTTAGCATTATTAGGTATAAGAGAAAACTTAGTAAAGCATAAAGATGTGGCGAAGTATCAGTGATAGATATTTAAACTAAAATAATGCATAAGAGTTTATTTTGTGGCTGAGTAATCAAACCTATGTTATCTACATTTTTATGAGGAATATTTGCATATATATATACTTATATATATTTCTATATATGTATAATATGGTTTTGCGTCATTTAGCGCCATCTTTATTTGATGTTTATGGAAATATGACAAAGTTTTACAAACAACACAATATTCTGATAAATAAATCAAATGAATCATGGTATCACACCGGTAGGCAGGTGGAGAAAACTACCGAGCAAAGTATTAAAACAGTTAATTTTACTATTCAGAATGAGGTGATTCCAGTCGGAAATAAAAATATTAACAATTAAAATAAAACTTGGACAAAGCAAGAAAAACAATTGTACCAGGATAATATGAGCTCATCTTTTATTATTTCGAGGATTCTTCTCAACTGGTTACAACCTGAACGATAAAAATATGAATTACATTAAAGATTTGAACATACTTTTCCACGATCACAAGGATTAATTGGTAGGAAGTAAAAGTAACATTAGTCCGGAATGATTTGACTAATTAAGAGTTACAAACACTGACTATTTATAGAATAATTAGACAATTAGGCTTGGAAACAAAAGCAGAGTTGCGTGTGTCCAGAAGAAAAGATTGAGGAAGAGCTATTCATTGTGGAGAAATGCCTACGCGACAACGGTTACCCACAAAAGTTCATCGACAAGTATAGGAGACGTCATGTTGAAAAAGTGAAAAGCAGCACAGTAGAGAAAAAGCCTATCTTTCTGCAGCTTGCATTCAAAGGTGTTGATACTGCTAGTAGAACAAGATGCAGACTGAACGCTGACCTGAAAAGACCATATCCAGCCGCCAAGCTTGTATGTGTTTATCAAACAACTAGTTGTTTGAGACAATCAAAAGTGGACCAATACCCACCTTATGTTCCTCCCAACTGTGTCTACCAATTTACATGTACGTGCCAAAGCACATACATCGGAAGAACAGAGAGAAGGGTTATTGTCGCATTTCTGAAGAGACACCAAAGAACCTGAGACTGCAAAGTCCACATGCATTCAAAAGTGCGATTGCGCGTCATCAATTAGACACTGGTCATATTGTAGACAACCTGAAGTCGTTCAAAACAATCAACAAGCAAAAGAAACCTAGGTCGCTACGCTTTGATGAAGCAGTTGCTATCAAACGACTTAAACCAAATCTATGTACGCAGAAAGAGACAGTAGTGAATCTTGCACTGCCCTGGTGATAACAAAGTACACAACTTTTATGAGTCACCCTTTTTCTTGTTTAGAAAACTCTACTGTCTCATCTAAACATGACTCACCGTATCTTGTTCTTTTCTCTTCTTTTTTTCTATTGGCTATTAGATAAAACTCTTTTGGACAACGTCCCAAAGAGCGATATCAAAATCCTTATGGGTGATATGAATGCGAAGCTGGGGGGAGACAATACAGGAAGAGAACTCACCATGGGTCGCGTGGCCCTCGGTGAAATGAACGAAAATGGTGAACTCTTCTCAGACTTCTGCACCTTCAATGATTTGGTGATTGGTAGCAGTGTGTTCAAACACAAGGATATACACAAGGCAACATGGATTTCACCAGATGGACACACCAAAAACCAGATAGACTTCATTTCGATCTCAAGGAAGTGGAGACGGAGCCTACTGGACACAAGCTCGAAGAGAGGAGCAGATGTGGGTTCAGACCACTATCTAGTACAAGGGACTTTCAAGGTGAAGCTGAAAGCCTCGAAGATAGCTGGGGATAGGCCACAATGCAAGTTCAACACGCAAAAACTGAAGGACACAACCACAAAGGACATTTTCACTGCAACTGTCAGAGCAAAGCAGGAAACACCACGTGGCACCACTGAGGAATCATCCGTGGAAGACCATTGGAACTCTCTGAAGGTAATTTTCAACGAAACGTGTTCAACGGTTTTAGGAAGAAAGAAGAAACAAGACAAGGAATGGCTCTCAACGGACACTTGGAAGCTAATGGAGGAGAGGAGAATGGTGAAAGAGAAAACGATTCAATGCAAAGATGGACAAGAGAAAGAGACGCTGAGCTCAACTTACACAGCACTTGACAAAGAAGTGAAGAAGAGTGCCAGGAAAGACAAAAGACAATTCTACGACAACCTGGCTACTGAAGCTGAGAAGGCAGCAGGCAAAAGGGACCTGAGGACACTATATCAGATAACCAAGTATCTATCCGGGAAGAGATCAACAGAAGTGAGACCTATCAAAGACAACCAAGGGAACCCAATTACCAAGGAAGAAAGACAGATTAAACAATGAGTGGACCACTTCAAAGGACCGACCACCACCTGCAACCCGTCCAGAAATACCAACAACAGCACGTACACAACTGCAAGTTGACACCAATCCTCCAACGAAAGCTTAAGTCTTGAATGCAATCAAGCTTCTGAAAGCTGGAAGAGCAGCTGGACCAGATGGAATACCCCCAGAAGCACTGAAAGCGGACCCAGAGACGACAGCAGACATGCTGACTCCATTACTGCGAAAGGTCTGGAAGGAGGGAAAGGTGCCTACTGACTACAGGAAAGGTCACCTTGTGAAACTACTAAAGAAATGCGACTTGGGACTCTGCAAGAACTGGCGAGGAAACATGCTCCTGTCGACGCCAAGTAAAATTCTGAGTCGCATCACCCTTAGAGAATAAAGGACGCACTGGATACAGAACTCCGACCAGAACAAGCTGGATTCAGGAAAGGCAAATCATGTTCTGACCAAATTGCAACTCTACGCATCATCATCGAACAAAGCATGGAATGGCAATCAAACCTCTACCTCAACTTTATAGACTTTGAGAAGGCCTTCGACAGCGTTGACCGCGAAGTAATTTGGAAACTACTCAAGTACTACGGCGTACCCCAAATATTCACCAACCTCATTCAACAGCTGTACAACAACGGCACATGTCAAGTGATCCACAACGGAAAACTCAGCGAAGCGTTTGGAGCAAACACAGGAGTCAGACAAGGGTGCTTATTATCACCAATGATATTCCTAATTGTGGTGAACTGGATTATGCGTCAGACAGTGCAAAACGAGAAGACAGGGATATCCTGGACCGACGTGAAGAACCTAGAAGACCTGGATTTCGCGCGTGGATGATTTATGTTTGATGTCACACAAAATCGAAGACTTACAAGCGAAAACCGACAAACTGGTCGAAGAAGCAGCCGGTGAAGACAGGACTCCAGGTGAACATAGACAAGACGGAGGTTATGAAAATAACCAACCAATCAACAACAACAACAACAACAGCAACATCCAGCGCCAATCACCATCAACGGGAGGGATTTGAAAGAGGTTACTTCATTCACTTATCTAGGGAGCATTGTCTCAACTACAGGAGGAGTGGACGAGTATGTCAAATGGAGAATCGGGAAGGCGTGAAACACACTCATCAACCTGAAACCAATCTGGAAATCTCCGTCACTCAGCATCAACAACAAAATTCGGACTTTCAATACAAACGTCAAGTCAGTTCTTCCATACGGATCAGAAACTTGGCGGGTCACAAAGAACATTTCCAACAGGTTGCAGACCTTTATCAACAACTGTCTTCGTTCTATACTCAAGATCAGATGGCCGGAAAGAATCACCAACAAGAAGCTATGGGGGCAAACGAAACAAGAACCAGTCGACCAACAAATATGCAGGAGAAAGTGGAGATGGATTGGACACTCGCTGAGGAGGCCGTTGGGTGACATCGCACGTCAGGCCCTCGAGTGGGACCCGAAAGGGAAGCGGCGAGTGGGACGTCCAAGGGTGACATGGAGGAGATCGTGTGAAGAGGAGTTGAAACAGTATGGACTAACATGGATAGAGGTGAAAAGTACAGCAGAAGACAGAAGCAAGTTGAAAAGTGTTGTTGAAGCCCTATGTTCCACTAGGAACCCAAGGGAACAATAATAATATTTAGATAAAACACTTTCTTTAGTTACATAACCTACTTTTTGTTATGCTCTTTCTAGCTAAACCTTGTTTCTATACACACACATATATACGCAACTCTATTTTTGTTTCCAAGCCTAATTGTCTAATTATTCTATAAATAGTCAGTGTTTGTAACTCTTAATTAGTCAAATCATTCCGGACTAATGTTACTTTTACTTCCTACCAATTAATCCTTGTGATCGTGGAAAAGTATGTTCAAATCTTTAATGTAATTCATATTTTTATCGTTCAGGTTGTAACCAGTTGAGAAGAATCCTCGAAATAATAAAAGATGAGCTCATATTATCTTGGTACATTTTTTGTTCTTTGTTTGTTCAAGTTTACTAATGGGAAGAATTGCATGAAGTTTTTAAAATAAAACTGTTTGATCACAATAATATAAGAGGAAATTTTATTTACCCAATAAGCATCAATATCTCTTCCTTCTTGATTATTCATATTGAGTATTCAAGTATTTGTTTCGCCATACAACGTAGATCACATTTAAACATGAAGAAAATTCGTTACAGGATTCCATCATGACCTGACATTGGTCAGAGAAACATTGGAAAACCTGAGAGTACTGGACAGCTGTTCCCTTCTAGTTTGAGACTCTTTAGCGACTTGCCCATGTTCAGGTAGGTAGTGACCTGGGGTTCTAGTGAGAATTCGTGACCAGTAGGGTGCAGCAGGTCGGGTGTAACGACAAATACTTGCCGAAGACATTGTCTAGTGGTCGCGCTATGTCGTGAATTGGCAAAAGGGAAAATTCATGGGCCATTGGATCGGTTCCTAGTGGCTTAGTGGTCTACGAGCTCGCCTTGTAACCAGAAGGTCCTGGGTTCAAACCCCGGTGGATGCATACTGATGAAGAGTCCCAAACTAGAAAGAAACAGCTGTCCAGTACTCCCAGGTTTTCCAATGGTCCCCTAACCAATATCAGCTCATGATGAAATCCTGTAACCAATCAAATTCCCCCAAACCAACACTTGAATATGAATAAATTCGAATTCAAAAAGACTTCCGAAGCAGTCGTAACCCGCATTTTATAAGGCAGTCACGATAAACAAGTACTTTCGAGTAGGAATCAAAAGTTCCGTAAAACAAAACAATATTTACATAGTATGCTAGATGATTGTAAATGCAAAGGACAGTGAATGTATATCCGATATACGCGTGGATAGTCAACAACAGTCGAAACTATTAGAAAAAAAATGGCCAGACGTCAATAAAACTAATATTGTTTTTTTCATTCATTGGGCAATAATATGAATAAATGAATAATAATGAACAGTTATAAAATGTAATGAAACAGACTTAGTGTTAATTGATTTATCCAAGAAAGCAAATAATTAAACAGTTTGAAAATTACACGCCACACAAGGTGAAGATGAAAGAGCATTTGCTTTTTATTTTATAAAAGTAATTCCATTCAAATGACTGCATACTACAGACTTAATATGCTTCAAATGTATTGATATAACTAATGGTGTAGGGAGCCATATGAATAATAAAAATTATAACAAAAACAGTCCACAAGACTTACTCTTTTTATCCTGTTTTGTGTACTATTGCATCTAGTTGCAGTACGACCTCTTTGTTGACTGGTCAAATCAGATTTGATCAATGCAGATGTGAATCCTTCTTCATCTTTAATCAAGTTGGCAGATACGCTTTTCAATTCAGCTGAAGAAGTAGATTCTGCAGTATTTGCACAGGCTTGAATAATTAAAGATGTTTCTGTTGGTTCCAATACACTTGAGTTGTTTGGGTGGGCTTTCACAGATGCAGTTAAACAAACGTCTTCGTCCACTTCTAGATAATTGGTATAAAAGAATACGTTATCAATAAACAGTTACCCTAAAAAACAAAATTTTAAAAAACCAAATGTTATTTATATATTCTTCCTAAAATATCCCATAGTGTTAAGACAAATGTTTACTAACGTATGTATCTCTTGTAACAAATGCACAAAATTTCCATTCAGATATTTAGAAGACAAAAGAAAATTCAAGCAAAGAACATCATTCCCGATGAGTTTGTCTTCCTTCTCTCTCTCTCTCTCTCTCTCTCTCTATATATATATATATATATATATATATATATATATATATATCCGCAAAATATTCTAGGTTAATCGTAGTAGTCCCTGATGAAGTGGATTTGCAAGTTTTATCTAATGGCACTAAGTTTTGTGATAGTCATGTCAGAATTAATAAAAGGAATAAGCAAGTTCGTTTTGAAAGCCTCTACTCTCCAACCGAAGATTTGATATTCTCATCAAGTGAGATCGTTGAAAGGCTTAAAGCAACACTGGCCAATCGTTGCTATAATTATATGAATAGTAAACTCAACTCGGATAATTTTCTGACCAGAAAACACAGAGAAGTCCTAGATAATTTCTGGAAGAACGATAAGGTAGTTATGACAAAACCTGATAAGGGTTCAGGGAGGGCAATTGTGGACAAGACAGATTACTTCAAGAAGATGAATATCATTCTTAAAGACGGTCTAAAATTCCGAAAGTCCTCATCTTCTATGGATCCGACTGAAAAGACTGAGAACAGTTAGTTGAGTCATTAAAAAGTCGGAACAACAAGGGTGTATCTCATACAGTTTGTATACATCACTAAAGCCCACTGGTGCGTTCACAGAGAGATTATTGAGTTTGCCAAAAGTGCCCAAAAATAGTTTGCCGCCTCGACCAGTAGTTGATATGTTAAATGCGCCACACCATTTTATAGCCAAATCATCGGTAAAACTCCTAAATACTGAATTGGTGAGACACAGGTTAGAAGAAACCTTTGGGTTTCCTGAAAAGATATAAAATTTAAATGTTAAGAATAATTCTATGATATACCTCGATGTATATTCGTTGTTCTCTAGTGCTTCAATCATGGAAACAGTAGAACTTATACGCGAAGACCTTATATGACGAAATAACAATGTCAGCATTCCTACACTTTTTATTAAATAGCTTCTTTTGGAATACACAGTTAATGTTGACTTCCCATTTAAAAAGCAACTATAAGAACGAATTGGTGGTTTGGCGATAGGATCACTATTAGGACCAATTCTAGCCGACATTTTCCCTGCAAGCTAGAGAACTGGTCTTTGAAAGATGTAACTGATGGACTACAATTCTACTGTCATTACATGGATGACACATTTTGATTATGAAAAAAGAGGATGAAGATAAACAAGTCCCTGACCAATTTAAAGATCTGCATCCTGCAGTAAATTTTACCAATGATAAAGACATAAACTCTGGTATTACATTCCTAGATGTCTTCATGACTCCAAAAAACGACGGTGGAATTAGATGAAGTGCATTTAGAAAACACACATCAACTGGTCAGTATACTCATTTTTTCAGCTCCGTGCATTTGAAATACAAACACAGTCTGATAAAGTGCTTGCTCCACAGAGCAAGAGCAATCCGCTTTGACGAATATCTAAATGAAGAGTTTAATTTTATTAAACATTTACTGAGTGAGAACGGTTACCCAGAAAAATTCATCGACAAAAGTATCAATCAAAATCCAAGGCAAACCAAAGTAACAACAGTTCCAAAGCAGGTCTTGTTCTTACAACTTCAATTCCTCGGGGATAACATCAGTGAGATACTAACACAGCGCCTAAGCAACGCGGTATAAAGAGCATTCAGTGCTGCTGAAGTATGCCTCGTATTAAAAACCACCCCCATTTGCATTCGAGAGTAAAAGATAAACTACCTAATTCCACCTCTTCTATGTGTAGCCATCAGTTTGACTGTTCCTGTGGAACCAGTTACATACGCCGTACAATTAGGCGTGTTTATCGTAGGATTTCGGAACACCATTCTACGTGGTTAAGTAAGGGACAAAGAAAGTCCATTGATAGACCTATACCATCTCATCCCGTAGATACAAAACGCAAATTTGATGTACACAAGGCCTTCAAAGTCATCTACCGTATACCGACTAAGCTTAAATTTACCTCAGGAGTTCGCACGTTACATATTGCTGGGGCTGTTGGAATCCACATTAAGAAGCCTAACTTGTGTACTCAAAAGAAGTTGGTTGAGACGTTTTCCTTACCGTGCTGGCCATCAAGGTTTCAATGATCCTTAATTTGTTGTAGAGATTTCCTTAATTCTATTTGGTATTCTGTTTACTAATACATTTTTATGCTTATTATAACTTATACATCTTTCTCGAACTGTATTTTCATTGGTGCTAACAAATTGAGAGTATTTAAAAAACACAAATATTGTTAGTGACAATTATTATAGAATATTCTGTGTATATAAATACATATAATTGTAAAGCCGGAAGAGGAATTTATCAAAAAGAATATTCTTTACTCAAATTTTCTCTTGTAAAAATTGATAAATGAAAATTTTCTCTTTCATTGAAATAGTGAAAGTTTACAAATCTGCTTACTATGAAGGCTAGAATAAGCAAACACACACAAATACACACATGGTCTTTCAGAATGTTTCATTTCTGATAGATTACCTCAGTTTAATCATTTGACAAAACTATTCACTGATTATTCTCATTCCTTTCGTAGAGTCGGAAGAGGCATCTATCAAAAATAATATTCTTTACTCGAAATTTCTGATGTTTTCTAAATGTAAAAAATCTACTAAGTTAGTATCGTTAAGTTCCACCCAAGAGATTCGACGTATTGGCAATTGCATATATATGTAAGTGGATATCAAAATGGAATTCTAGGTTTGATTCATTAACAGTCAGGAGTAATAGTTAAAATTAAAATGAATAAACTTTAGGAACATTTAATTCAATTTTAGATTTTCCCGTCGATTGATTGGACCGAACTGCTAGGTCTCAGGTTGACATGTCGGCTTTTTGTGCAGATGCTTCGACGATATCTGGGCATGTAATTAGGAGTTAATTTTTGGATGGTGACTAGCAGTGGAATCTGTGGTGGGCATTTCGTCCTATTTGGAAACATCATCACTCACTGCGGAATGCAGGCATATCCATTGATGAGTGCAAGTAGGACGAAATGCGCATCATGGATTCCACTGTTAGTCACCATCCACCAATTAACTTAATGAATATTATTTGTAATTTGTATTTTGAATTTATGTACAGAACGTTTTATGAATCCAGCTCAGACGGTGTACTTATTTTTCTAGACATTATGTAATTTTACTATTACCGTTTTCCTTTATTATTTCATTCAAATTTTCACTGAAGGCTAATGACTTCTAATCTTCAGTTAATAATTTATACTACTAACGTTTTGAAAGTAGCTATACATAAAAACCGAATTTGTTTGCTGATTACGAATCCCAGCAACTGACGAAGACTCCAATAGTCTACCAAGATTTCAGGATCGTATTATGGTACACTAAAAATTCTTATCTAGGAAAATACAGAATGCTCAGATATTTATATGAAAAATAATTTGCCTGGGAAAATTCCTAACTGGCAATTCATAATACTTCAAAGAATCTAAGTGAAATGTTGGTGAAAATATGTCAATTCATAGGTTAAACCTCTACTGAAATATTATTAACAGCTTATATGCCAACAAGGTAAGATCTAATAACACATACAGTATCATAATAACAATCACAAAATATCAAAATTGGACTCAGAATTGCTGAACAACAGTCCGGTTTATCGCATATTATCTCTGGACATAAAATGGGTGATAAGACAAAAGACAACTGATGAAGAGTCCCAAACTAGGACGAAATCAATGTCAGGACATGATGAAATCCTGTAACCAATAAATCAAATCCCTACAGACCAATACTTGAACAACGAAATTGAATTTGATAAACCCCAAGTCAGAAAATAATACAAGTTAAAAAAAGTGGGAGTATGAATAGCGAAAACCATAAAAAGTGAACGTACTTGAATCTAGGTCGCATCAACTAACATCTTTGAATATATACAATCTGGTTGGCACGCAAACTCTAGCTTAGCCACAATGCTGAACACAGAAAAACGTAACAGTAGTCACTCTAAGCAGGTCTTGAGTCAGTAATCCTTCGCTTTCCATCAGTTGAATCCAATTTTTGCTAGTGCTTTAATACAGACAATAGGCAGGTAAGCGTAAAATGTCTCAGATACCTCAGGTGACTGGCTTTTATTATAAATGTATATGTATGGTGAGGTGAATGTAATCACTGATGAAGTAACGGTATAACGATTGCTATAACCTTGTCTAATTAACTAGCCAATCCTAAGCCCAAAAATATAGGGAAGGCTGGGCATTGGGTTAGCGACCCTACCCCAGAAAATCCACCCAATCGCTACAGAAACTTCAAAGCATAGAATAAAATATCGAAAATAAACTTAGCCTTCTATGGGATCGGAGACACGAAACAATGTGGACTGGCCGAAGTTTTCGGGAAGCCAGTCAACCAATATGCCTACTTTCGGTAAAAGCCAAAATAAGCATGGGGACACAGGATGTCCGCCGGATGTTCGGAGCTGGAAAGGCTGCTTAAATTGTCAAAGAAATGACGACATACGGTATAGCAGTGCTAAGAATTTGTGAAAATAGAGGAAATGGGAGTGGAGAGTCAATAATCTACTTCTGTCACCCATACGACAACTGTGAACACACTAAGGGAGTGCAACCGATTTCGTCACCAATAGCATTAAAGGCCCTTATGCTGTGGGAACCGATCTCCTCCAAGAACATCAGAGAAATAGTCAGAGCTTAAGGAATGAAAGTTAAAATTAAACAATGCTACGCATCCGCAAACAACGAGCACCAAATAATGAGAAAGACTTCTGCAGACAACTGAAAGAAAAAGTGGACAAGTCCAAAGCCAGATGGCGACATCA